ATTACAGCTCAGAACTGACAAAGCTTGCTTTCAGCCTTACTTGATGAGGGCCATGAAATATAGGTTTTGCTTCTCTGCTGCTGCTGCTGCCGTGAGAGGTTAGCTGTAGACGGACACGTTTTTTCATCCTGTGCAGCAGGTAGGACACTCTACAGTTGAAATGAAACACCTCGTTAGCCAACAACAAAAGCTATCCAACTAGGAGCTGTTACTCATGAAAACTTTACTGTGCTTTTGAAGCTATTACAACCCAGTGTTGGTAGAAAAACTCTGAACTTACTTGACCACATCCACATATTTTCAGTAACAGACACAAACCCTGAGAAAGACAGAGAAAGAACTAAGCCCCACAGCAGCCACTGGAATCTGTCAGCCAGCAAATCCTCTATGAACAGGCAGGGACTGTCCCAGCAGCTCTGCTTTCCTTCCTCCTCCTGATGAAGGGACAAACTCAACTCCCTTGTCTGGGCTAGCCAAGAAGGACAAGACAAAGCCTGACTAGATGCGAGAAAAATGGAAGGCACAGAATGTAAAAGTGTACCTTTGCACATTCCTCTCATGGATTTAGTACTAAAATAGCTCACAGAATACTGTATTTGTTAAATACTAAATGAAAATAACGCTACAAAGCACTGCAGCTTACATGCATTTTAGTTACCTCCACAACGTTAGTTTTTCGCCCCCCTTGTTTTCGCTCTAGAATTGGCGAAGGGCCACAAGCACAACATTCCAGTTCCTAACAGTTTGCAGCTACTCCTACCCTTGCTAGGGAAGCAGAGGAGGGAGAGGAAGAGGAAGAAAGCAGAGGGGAGCCTTGCAGTGAGGAATGGTCACTCTGGAGAGAGATTGCAGCAGAGATAAGGCTCATGTGATAGACGTGCTCAAAGCCTGTTGGAGGTGATACCAGAGCAGAATGTCAAGAGGATGAGGGGGAAGGAAATTCATTCTGTTATTTTAGGAAGACAAACAAGAAAAAGGAAGGAGGAGAGACTGATTATTTACAAAACTACTAACAAGCTCCTGGCAGTGATATCTGTTTCTTTCAGTGTCTCATTCTTAAGTCAGCTAAGAGTATTTCCTTGCACAGAATTTAGAAGCATTGCACATCAGGAAGGGTCACCTTTCTCATCATGATTAAAAGAAGAATTTGCTACAGAGATAACACTTGAACCTCATACAGCTTATCTTCACAGTTTTTCTGAGCAAGAACAGATGCACATATATCTCCCTCCCTTTTAAAGGTATTTTACCAGTGGGAGGTCCATGAGAACCTGCATTCCATCTCCTGGTCCCATATGAGCCACATGGTTGAAATTCGTTGGGTTAGAAATCATCTTTGACCTTAGCTCGGGATCTCTAAGCATTTCCCTAAAAGAACAGAGTGATTTTTACTATTAGCATTCCCAGTCTCTGAATGTCACCACGTATATTAAGCTACAAACTACAATTAAATTCTTACCGTCTTTGTTGTAATCGTTCTTCCTCGGGAACCTTAAATACAAATCTTCTTTTGCTCCTGGTTCGAAGCATTTGCTTCTTGCTGTTGTCAGATGTTTCTGGTACACTGAGAACAGCTCCTGCTGTAATATCGTAATGCAATTTCACATACAGAGGTACACGTTGACCCAGACGCATCCAATACAAGTTTCATCTCACGCAAAAGCAACATTGCTGAAAATCACCCAGTTCACTTCGGGTCATGTTCCCACTTCTCCCCTTGCTCAGTACTCACCTGCAAACTTGTTCTTGAAATATATTAGCCTTGGTGGCTCGCAGTTAAGGAGATTCAGCGTGCCGTCCATGTTTAATGGTCTGATCTGTTTTGAGGAAGGAGGCAGAGAATTAACACAAGTCTAGCATAGACTGTGAAGAAACATCTCATTTGGAATTAATCTAATTAAGTTATATAGTCAAAGAAATTTACTTACCCTTCGCAGGCCAATAGTCTGGACCCATTCCATAGTGTTAACATCGAATACATCAACACCATACTCACTATACACTGTAACGTAAGAAGAATTGCAACCTGCATAGATGAAAAACAAACAGAAAACCCTAATGTGGTTTCAGTAGTCCAGAACTGACATTTAGAAGTTTTCCACTATGTGCAAGATACATTTTAAAACACTTTCTCCCAGCTCTGCTTTCAAATAGACATTTTTGTGATAATATATTTGCTGACAACAGTTGCCAGCATTGTGAAAAGATTTAAATTTAACCCTTTCACTATTTTTAATCTTCAAATTATGATTTCATGAAATTGCAAAATAGTTATCTGAAGTTTTCAGACGCATACAGATTTGCTACTTGGTAGGAACTGAGCAGCTAGTTTTTCTGCAGATATGGATTACTTCATTTTAGAAGTAGTAAACATCTGCTGTGTGTAGGGGAAAAGAGAGGGCCACCACCTGTGAGGTGGGTCATGAAGTCACAATGTGGATCTGTTCTCAACTTCCTTCCTCTTTCGTTAACGATTACCTAGCTTTAGATATTCATGTATGGGCTACTTTCATCAGGTTAACAGAAAAATGTCACAATGCTTATGGCCCACAATCCATTTTCTCTTTTCAATATTTTTTTTTAAAAAACAAAAGCATCAGTAGACAAGTTTATTTTAGGTCAGAAGGAACGTGGCAATCCCTGGAGCCTCATATCAACGTGCTTCTGGCTCCTGTAAAGACTCTGTCCTGATGTAAAGAGCAGTTACTAGAAATTTATGGGATTTAATAGAGAAAAGAGCTGCTTCAATAAACAAAAGGAAAAGAATCCAGTAGGACACTAAATGCATCACAGAATCTTCCAAGAAGAACTGAAGTAAGGTTGTGGTGATATTTTTTTAAATTCATTCACAGAAAGTCTTGGACAGCTATCACAAATCTGTATTACAGAAGTGATTTATGGTCAAGGATTTATTATACGGGGCTCATGGCTGGCTTGGATGTCCAAACAAGGGAGATCACTGAGCATCAGACAGAAACACCAGCTGCTTCTGCCCCAGGCCCCCTTGTAGCCAAGGCCAGCAGCAACCAGTCAGAGCTGATGAGCCCCGTCAGATGTCAGCTGGTTCCCAGAGAGATGCACCAGTGTCTGCACTGGGCTGGCCACGCTCCAGCTTCGAGACCAGCTGGCTCCAAGTCTTTGCACCGCGCTGTCCTCAAGCTAAGGAGCCCCCAACACCCAGGCCGACTCGGCACAGAGCCAGCAGGTTAAGCTGGTTTAACTGTGGCTAGCACAGGCCACCTGAGATAACAGAACCAACCGTTAGCGTAGACCTGGCCTCTCCTAGCATGAAGGGACCGAATACCCTACAGACAAATTTTCCAACCTATCCTAAACCCTTTCTAAAAAACGGTCCCTTACTACAGCAGAAACTGCAACTGGGGGAGATCCACTTCCAGTTTGATGATCTCCTGGTGGGACAGTTAAAAAAACCAACCGTCCCCAGTGACAAGACACCAGGAGTGAGGAGGGAGGATGAGGCTAACGAAAAAGGAAGTAATCCAGCTTCCTCTGGCAGCGCAAGAAGTTGCTCTTTCTACAGGAACAGCCCTAGGCCAACGCGACTCAGGACTGCCCATACGACAATGCTGTAAAATAGTTTACAGTAAGAACAGCTTCTAATAATAACAGACAAAACCATTAACTAGCAAGTTTAGCTTGCTGGAATGCAAAAAAACCTGTGAAGCTGATAAAGGAAAAGGAAACATTAGTTTTGGCTAATGGTGTTTTAAAGTAAATTTGTGACCACATTGTTTCCTTGGGCCTTTGCTCCAGACTTGTGTGCAGAACTAGGTCAGAGTAAAGCAAGCAAACAATTTCAGTTCAAGACAATTAAAATTAAACAAACCGCTATTAAGGCCTGGAATGATCAAATGAACATGCACCTAACTGCTCGCTGTACTATTTAAACAAAAAAGCTATTTCTTGCCTTCAGTCATTCAAAACATTTTAATTGCTATTTGAGCTCCAAACAGAAATCCAAGTTTCATGTGCTTCTGTCTTAACTAGCTGATAAACCAGTGCTCCTGAAATGAGCAGAGTGGTTGAAAAATTACCCTCCACCTGCCTGTACTATTTTTGGAAACTCTCCCCCTAAAAATAAAAACAGAAGGAGAAAAATTGGTACCAGCTCTGCCAAAGGCAGTATTTTTTACCTCTTACTTTGTTATCTTTATGAACCTTTATAGTCACAGCTAGATTTCTTGTTCAGTTTTCTATTGCAGTTTGAGTACAGGACCCAGACGACATCCTACAGCCAACTAGGCTTTTACACTCTCTGGAGCACCAAAAATTTTTAAAGAATTTGACAAACCGGTACTCTTGCACTGCCCTGCATCCAGGACTACTCCCTGTAAAAGTTATTTGTCATTCCGTTAATAGTTCTTCTCTGTCCTGTAACAAGACAGAGCTTCTTTACTTGCAACATCCAGGATCTCAGTCCACGAGATCGTCAAGTTCAAAATTACCATCAGGAAGAATGTGTATCCTGTTAACTCATCAAAACTTAAAACTGTAGATACTGAAAGACAAACCCAACTGAAATAGAATACAATGCTGATTATTTTTAGACAAGTAAAGCAGCAACATGGATATGGCAACAGAAAAACATATACATACTACAGGCAACAGGAGTTGCAGGCCACATTAGTTCCTGCATGCGTGACCTTCGACCTTGCGAATCGACGTATACTCCCATATGGCTGAAGCAAAGCAGGTATTCCTCATTACTGAGCTCCACAGCACAAAGGGCATCAAACGACTGCTGTGTGAGGAAGGTAAGCGAGGGGTCATTAGGATTTACCAGGTTTATAGATTGTCCATCTCCCTGGATGGTCAATAGAGAGAACCCAGACTGGTAGCCAACACAGAGCTTGTCCTTGAACACTGCCATCCACTGTACAGTTCCTGGAGCCTGAATTTCACTGAATTTTTTGTGGAAAGGTTTAGTTCTGTGAATTTCATAGCAAAAAACCTGTCGTTTGACAGCCACAAACAAACAAGTCGAAGAACTCTTCTTTAGTGTTCCAGTTGTAATCAATTGGCAGCCTTTAGTTTCCGCAAGCTTAACATCAAAGTTTCCTTCCGACCCATCCAGAGAGGCCCAAGGGTAAAGGTGAACGTGGTGGTTCCGACCGCAGATGAGGATGATGATTTTCTCTTTGGGAGCGAGCTCTATCTGGTACACCTTCTTGCAGTCAGCAGCTCGGACTATCACTGCAAAGGAAACAAGAGCTGCTGTAAGTTAAACAAGAAAACCATCAGGCCTGGAAACACTGCAGTGTCGGGCACTGGTGTCTGAAAGTGAATCTAAGGACAGACACATGCCACGTAAGAAAGAGCGCTAATTGCACATGTTCCATGCTGTGTTATTAATTCTCAGAACAAACAATGAAACAAAGCACTCCTGTAACTCTGTGGATACAAAGTCTCAGCAACACTTTGCCAGAAAATGCTGCTTAACATCTGGGATAAAAGGAACAAATTTTTGTATATAATAGTATCTGCACTATCCATGCACTGCAAAATGCTTTATCTTCTGAAACAGGTCCCACCTTCAGGAAAATACAGCCTCTTCAGTCAATTATGGAAGAAGACCAAGTTAGCAGAACACAGAGAGAAGAAATATAAAGTAATTAATGCTGATAATGTTGTGTTTGGGAACACAAAGTTTTGTATTTGTGAATAGAAGATGTTGTACTGCTCACAAACGTCTTGTCCAAATACAAAAGCAGAACAGTAAGCGGGTGTTAACACCTATGCGGACAGGCAAAACACGCTGTGCGTGATGGGGAAAGGATAACAAGGAACGGGCTTAAAAAAGGTTTAGGATGGGCACTCAGAAAAGCCTTCTCCTGGTAGGGACTAGTTTGGCTACTTATAGAAGCCAGAGAGTTTCACCCTTTGAAAGGTTTTTTAAAAGCAGGCAGAGGCAGGTAAAGGGGTTAAGCTACAGCGTTTTCCGCTTTTGAGATCGTGGGTCTGCCTGGGCACTTCCAAGGAAGCAGTGAGCATTTCATGCACTACAAACACGAGATGAAGCAATTCCAAAGTGGGAAACCTAACACACACAAGCCAATTACGTTAAAATGTCACTTTCGTTTTTCTGTTAGCTGAATGCATTCAAAATATTTATAAACTATATATTTTTAAAAAGAAACATTAACTGGAAATTATATGCAATTCCTGAGTAACAGTTCAGCAACCTGGCCAAGTTACCCAATTCTATAAACTTTGCAAACAAGCTGTTTAGATGACAAAGCCAAGTGCTTTCGTGGCATCCCCCAACTTGCATAAATAGACGATATGTCTGAATAAATGTTCTATGAAATAACCAGCTGTTGGAGTTTTGCCACAGAGAAAAGATTTTTTTTTCCCCAACTCCAACTTAGAGTTTAGTTTATTTATCAAGAACTAAGTGATATTCTCACCAAAGACCTTTGATATAAGCAGCTGGAAGTTAATTAACACTGAAAATTACAACTGCCATAAAATGAAAAAAGAGACTATGATTTATAAAAATGGTATTAACACACAGGAACTGGCCATAGAAAACTCCTGCAAAACTTCTTTCAATTTAAAACCAAAATTGATAATTCATTTTCACATTTACATACAACATGGTCATGCAGATAATCATTCCTTTATGAAATGACTTTTCAAATTAAATGTACAATTTTCTCTTATGCAAGAAGCTGTTCTGGAATCTCTGGAATTATCTGCGTCTAAAATTATGTTTATATCTAAGTACTTACAGAATGGTGACCACTGGGAGTTTACTCAAAGGAATGGTATTTATTACTGCTAAAAAGAATTTCAAATATCTGCTGTCTCCATGCATAAAGCAGTTTCTCCTGGAACTGGGAAATGACTTTAAGCTAGAGGAAGCAATAACTTTTTGCTTTTTGCCCCAAACCCACATCCCTTACTTAATTTGATTTTGAAAATCAAGAGTCTTTAACAATCTGCATTCACTGTTTTATTTCACATTGAAAAGCAAGTCTCAGCATGACTGCAACCCAACTTTCAGACAGCTACAAACTAAATCACATTGAAAATGCAAATTCTTCCAACAAGATTAAACTTAAAGAAATATCTTTTATTGAAATTACAATGACAGTGACTAAAACCAGTCAAAGGGCTCTCTCAGGGGTGTCTCAATGATTTTTCCCGTTAGAAAACGAACCTTCTAATTTTACAAATTTGTATCACTGACCACAACAACTTCAACTCACACCTAGTTAAGGACACCAGAAGAACCTAAGCTCAGAGCAATAAATAAAAGTGAAGAAAGCATTAGGTATTTTGTCAGAAACAATCCTATCAGAGCGTCAAGATTGTTTGCTCTTATATCACAGAGTATAGAGTGCTGTCTAAATTTAGAGTGCCAAAGGATTTATAAGAAAGCACGGATTTTGTAAGGTACGTTCAGTGCTTTTAAAGTCAAAGAGAAAGAAGTAGCTAAGATTTCTTACAGAAACTTAGAAAAGGCTAAATAGTAGCAGATTATTATATTTTAAATCTGTATTGCTTCTTAGAAACATACTACTTCTATAAAGTCACTTTAACTCAACTAGTTTGGGTTTTTTTGCTTTCTTTTTTTGTTCAGAATAAGAATATCTTATTTTGGAAGCAGATTGAAAAATTATCCAGACTTGCTCTTTGCTTTTCCAGGTTTAAAATTGCATTTTGTACGGACTGATCCCAAATGATCTCCAGGCTAGCAATCCTTTTGGCCTCCAGGCTTTCCCACCACACCAGGGCATGTCTCCCACTGCTGTGTTTGTGCTCAGCGTGTCACGTTAAAGGGAAAAATGCTTCTTGCCTTACTCCCCAGCTGTGATGCCTCCTAATCCAACGATAGAGGGATACGCTTGTGCTGCCCAGTGACAACGCAGCACATGCTTGGCTGTGGTACCTGAGCACTGTCTGTGTGAATTTCTGGAATGGACATGGCAAGTCTTCAGGAAGAACAGGCAAAACTGATCCCATTTTTCCCAAAGCAGAGGGTAGAGTGCATTAAGAATGGGAAGGAAAAAGCAGGTTGAGGAGGAAGCACGGGGTCAGGGAAACAGTAAGATAATGGAAAGGGGCATTTGCTTTGGCAGTCATGAGTCTGAAAGAAAATGCAATTGGTTGTCAAATTTCTGGAAGAAACAGAAAATGATACATGGTGGTTTTAATGGAAAGTCTACAAACTCTTCTGTTGCTCGCACTGGCTGTCTAACTTCTAATTCATGGCAGTTTAAGCCCTCTGATGGAGCGGGTTCAAATAAATCTGTTTCCACGTCAAGTTTTTCCTCATTCAATTCAAGCTCTGTAAGTGTCTGACAATTCACTGTGCATCAACTGCTTCTGCGTGTGCTCTGTGTGCTGAAGGTTTCTGCTACCTGCTGTGGGAACACAGTCAGAGGTGAGAATGTGTCAGAATACGCCTGGTAACTCATCCCTTTAATTTCAGCCAGTCAACTGAATGCAATGATAATGACCAAATTAGTGCTTATATCTCACATTCACTCTTCCTTCTCACCAATTAACTGAGTGCTTAATACTACACATGAAGGGCTGTTGTGTAACCTGTATTATAACAGCACTAAAAGTTATGGAGCTCATTATTCTGTGTGTAATTACTGCATACATTATAGCCTAACTTACCGTCACGGGTCACCTCTATCACATACAGTCCCTCTTCTGAACCAATTGCTATTCTATCTCGATCTAAACCAGGAAGAAAAGAAAAGCCATTAATTCAGCTACATTTAATGCTATCTTTAAAACAGATGTTTGCTTTGGACAGCCAGAATAACTTCTGGACAAACATATTTTTAACAGCAAATCAATTTTGCTTTAGTCCATGCAGTCTGTCAAAAGCATGTTACATACCATATTGCTAAACCAACCTGCTAAACAACTAACCAGTATTATTTACCCCAACTGAATGAAGAAATTTGAATATCAATGTAAGATTAGCATAGCCCCCCATTATTAAATTCCTATGAAGGAATTTGGCTATGGAATTTATTTCAAGGTGTCAGTGCTCTCACTGCAGAAGGACATCTAAGTTTCAACAACTCTCACATGCTCCCAAAGTTAAAACAAACATACCTACAATAGCAGCAGCTAAACTTGCTTTAATAAGAGGCAGTGTACTGTCATAGGCTTCTTGTGGAATATGCACAACCTGGTTTTTCAGTCTGTTTTTGTGCAGGATAGACTGCAACCCTTCTAGGATTCCGACCCACTTTCTCTTCTCGTTCTCATTTTCCGTCAGGATCAGTAGAGAACAAGATTTTGAAGGCAAACCTAAGAGAGAAGCTGTCACCTTTTAACAGAGAAAGCGAAATTAATAGGAGTAATAAAAGCCCTTCTTGTCAGTATCATATACTTTACAGAACTGTGAAAACAAAATACACGTTTTCATAACAACGCGGTGATGTAGCTGAGGGGTACGCAACACAGCTCACATGGCCACAGTGCCCTGAGAAAAATTTGCACATTTCACAGTGGTTTTGATTAAAAATACTCAGTCTTGTTTAATCACTTTGAATCCTAAAACATGGGCAACGAACACTACATTCCTTTCTTACAGTAATCAACACATGACAGTAAAAGATACCTGCCTGCTCTAAACTGGAATTTCAGTAGCATGCCACATTTGTCCTCATCCCTCCCCACAAGATCTTTTAATAAGTTACTGAGGATGACACACATGCTTTCTGAGTCAGAAGCATATAAACCCAATGGCATTGCTATGATCAGTTCTCAATTTTGATTTCGCTACTTAAATTTCACAATATTGTCCAGGGGGAAGAGCACATCCCATCTGCATTAAAAGCTCTGGAGGAAAGCAATGTTCTGAGACTGAAGCACTGCATTCTCCCACTTCCCCATGGTAAAAGAAAATCACCACGGCTTCACTTAATTTTCAGGTAAATCACCCTGTAGTCCTCAAAGCAAAACACACTCTGAATTGAAAAACATCCAGGAACTTTTTGTTGCCTAAAGCATGCACATACTAACTCTTAATATTAGTTTTGTGTCCTTTATGATGGCTTTGAAGGGTTTGTGAGATCATGGGAACTGCTTACAGTCCCAGACAAACTGGTCATCAGCCAGTATCAGCCCACATAATGGATTTTTAGAGTAACAATAGTAAAACTGAAAAAAACACAGTAAAAGGTGTAAAAGTGCAAAACTGAAGGCTGTAACTAATTGTACACTGAATAACACACCTTCAGCCTCTGCACCTTGGTAAGAAAATCGCCATAAAGTGAATTAAGCAGTAACATTCATCCTAGAGACAATCTGTCTGAAAGAACTTGGGGCAATAGGATGTCAAAGAGAGAACACCAGAAGTAAGATGAAAGTGAAGAGCAGCAGGAAACAAACGGAGGAGTTTGCAATTGCTCATTGCTCTCATTACTCTGCATCAAGCTTTGCTCATGTCTTAACTGTAACTAAGCATGAATATTTTAAACACAGATGGAGGCATAATGGATAATATTCCTAAAACTGAAAACAAAACCAAACCAGACTTCAGCTATGGTTTTCCCTTTGAAGTATCACCACGTATGAATCCTCCTCAGTCTTTTGAACGTGGCATCTTACATGCAGTCAAATGTGGGAAAAATTGGAGAAGTTGGCTGTAATATATCTAGCATTATTCATCATACAAAAATCCTGTATTTGCTATGTAACTCAAGGCTTCTTAACTCAAAACCGATAAGCTGCAGAAGGACTCCACTACAGACACTCTTACACTGTTATTAGAAACGTATCAACACCAGCACTTAGACTGCAGTGTTTGGATGCCAATATTAAAAACTTTAAACCAGTTTTAAAAACAGGTTACCAAGGAGAGATGTTGGAGGCTGAGACAAGTTAATCCTCTTCCCAATTTCATGGAGGTCAGAGGTTTCAATATTTTAGTTTTTGGCAGCATTGTGGCATTGCTTTTTGCTGGTGGAAGATTCAAAAAAAAAAATAAATCTTTGGTGGGCCACCAACATCACCACGTCACATGAAATAACATATAGGAAAGAATCAGCACCATTTTTACACAGATGATGTAAAGTAACAGTTTTAACTGTTGCATAAAAGCTACTCTGTGTCATCATGTCAGAAAGATGCAAATATATAGTTAAATGAAACAGAGAAAATAGATTGTCTTGCACCAGATATTACTGGTTTCCAGTTTCAGAAATTTCTCCTTCTGCAGGAAGACATAAAACTGAGACAAGAGGTAGGCTTTGGTAGCATCTTCTCTGGTCCCTGTCAACAGGGTGTCTAAATGGATCTACTCACACATCAGGCTTCCAGTTAATTCATCAGATCTCTCCTCTGATCAAAACGTGGAGACATTTTGTTTTTATCCACACAAGTATTTTTACATGAGGATATTTGACAAAATGTTTTTTTCTTAAATACCCATTCAGTTAAAAATGGCAGGCAGATACTAGAGCAGCAAGTCGGGCAGGCTAAGCTGTATGGATGCTTTGTTCTTAAAGGAATCCACCACCATTCTGCACAGCTTACATTCTCTCCTCAGAATTTTTTTTCCCATAGCATTCCACATTTGCTAATTTGAGAAGAGAGCAGGCACATGGGAATTAAATGAATTTAGAAACAAGTAAGAGGAAAACGAAGGTAAAAGTAGCAGTAAACTAAAGGATGAAAATGCACTGCAGGAAATATTTCTAAAGAAATGTAGAAAAGTGAAGCCACAGAAGCATTTGAGAATGCAAGACTTGTCCTAAGTAAAACCCTAAAGGACCAAATGATTGGGATCGTGTGAGACTGTCAGTACCTTGGATTCCCTCTTCCACTAACTTGAATCTAAATGACTGAGGATCAGAGACCCTGAAAACAGTGAGTTTCTGTATTCAAATGCATGAGATTACAGATATTGCGTACTAATGTACTCTTCTCTGTATTTTAAAATTCCAGATTAAATATAATTCACATAAAACCTAGGAAAGAAGTTCTTGTTGTTAAAAACACAAATATAGCATTCAGATAGAACATAAATCAAAGGGGGTATGATAACTAAGCTAAATATTTTCTCTTTAAAATTTTTCTACTATATTTACATATGACATTAGAGAAACTGAAATTTCAAAGGTACTTTTTTATACAAGACAATAAATGGCAAACTAGAATCAGTCAGTGAGCACGACCCAGGTTCAGCCTACTCTGTTACAGTATCAGTTCCTAAAGCAAGTGTCATCCAGAGTTCAGAAAGAAAAACAAAAAACTCGTAATACCAATGGAAGTGAAGACAAAAATATACTGAATTATCAAGAAAATAAAAAAGGCAAAGCTTATATATAAGGAAGCAGTAAAGGAGAACTTTGTTCTTTACAATTCAATTTGCAGAGGAGTATCGTGTTCTTCTATGCATTTCAGCACTCCTTGTTAATTCTTACACTTCTGCATAACTTAATAAATATTAAATAAGGAAAATGTAGTTTTCTATCAAAATAAGATACTAGTATTTAACTTGTATTTTGTTTAAGAATAAATTGCTAAGCATACCCTGAATATGCAAGGGATGTCTTTACGAGTTGCGTGTATTACATCCGATGCTAGGACAGAGCTCACACAAAAATCTTCATCTCTGGTAAGAAAGAGAGCAAGAGAATCATATACATGCACACACCAACATTATTCAGCAAAATCTAATTGATACCCCAACTGTTTCAATAGGCTGCAATACCCTAACACCACACAGAGGTCACAGCTGCCATCACTGCTTGGTTATGCTCTAACCATCCTTGACCTGACCAACTCACGAGCTTTAGTGATGCTGCTACAGCATTCAGGATGTGTAACTCAGTCCACCTGAAGCTAAGTGGGGTGGCTTTGTATAGTTTTGGTTTACCAACCACACCTACTCTACAATTAGCGGCAAGAATATTGCTCTTCCAGCCCAGCAGACACGTTAGAACTGATTAATTCATACCTCAATGCAGAGCAAGAGAGGGGCCTTTGGAAAAAAACAGAAAAATCATATAAAAAGCTCTTGGCAACATAATTATAGTTTGTGGGACTCAAGTAGGTGTTTTCAAAACAGCTAGATTTTATTCTCTAATACAGTAAAATAAACAGCCATCAGAACAACTTCCGCATTTCAGAGTGCTCCACCCCAGAGGGCTTGTCTAGATAAGCCTTTTAAAACCGAATTTGACCAAGTTGATCACCTTAACTGCCAATTTTAGTGTAAAGATGACACTACTGCCTGAAATTCGCCCATGCCAGAACTCATAGCTATGGTAGTTAATGTCTATTAAAACATCTAAGAATCCTCAGAAGACACACTCAAAGAGGCAGTTACAATAAGCAGATAAAGCAGGGGACAGTTGGCATAATATCTGGCTGAGCTGCTTCAAGCAATGGACTGATGTGAATACTGTTATCTGCAACACTTCCGCGCCTGCTGCCAGCGTTGTCAGAGAATAAACGTGAGAACAGAACAGCAGTACTGGTACACACCCACAGTACTGCTCTGGAAAACATACAAATCAAGGCGCTTGTGAACAGAAACAACATAGAAGGTGCTGTAACATTAAAGGGTATTAGGCTTTCTTGATATTTCCATAAATTGAAATAAAAAATCGTCTCAGTTACTCTGATCAATGTAAGTCTCAGATCTTCTGTAGACAGTGTTCAGCAGTTCAAATAGTTCACCATGAAAAAATAAATCCTGTGAGAAGGCAAGGTCAGCACCACTTGTATTATAAATTACTTGGTGCTTTTCTGAGGAATACTTCATTTTTTTTAGTGTTGCTGAAACTGCTGGCTGTGGGATGATTTGTGACTCAGCGTCGAGGTCAGAGTGTAAGGGAAAAAATCAGTACATTGAAGTCTATTTGTGTTCCATGTGTGCATATGGAATTCTAGGAAGAAATGCTAATACTGCAAATATTAGTGATTATAAGTGACTACAAAATCACTTAAGTCACTTGTTGAGCCAACAAGTTCAGCCTACACTTAGCTGCAGTCTATACACAGAACACATGGGTCTTCTCAGACCACAGTTCTCATAATTTTAAAGTTTCCTGTGTACTATAAATAAATATTCCTCTTAGGAAAAAATACAGAGGATTTCTACTCTATCACAGTAATACAAACCTGAGATCCAAGACTTGACTTGCAACAACTCCAGGCTGGGTGGATTTTCCTTCAGGCACATCATATAAGAACAGTTTACAGTCGCAGACAACTGCATAAGCCCTCTGCCACCCTTTCTTAACTCCTGTAGGCTTTGGGACCTGCGTATAAATAACTGATTGCTTATTAAAGGTAAGCACATGTTGTAGACACAGAAAGCAGAGACATTTAGAAAAGCTTATACTAAGATCAATGGAATTAGAACACGTTCTACTTGCCCTTCAAAGCAGAGTGAAAAATGTCAAGTAATCAAGCAATCATTTTTCCTCCCTTAAGTTCAACCGTTCCCTGTTACAGTATAATAAATACATTAGGACAAATAACGGGGCTTGTATATTCCTCAAATGCCAAAATGGTAGGACAGTTTACCTCTTATATTGTGCTTACATCAACAATGACAGAAATTCTTCCTTAAAGCATGCTCTTTTTCTCCTCCCTGCAGCTTATGAACATTGTAGCTGCTAATCTACTAATCTCCAGCTCCTGTGGTAAAACTGCTTCTCCCACATTTAAAGCAATGATGGTTAAGTAAGTTATAGAGATGACACACAAAGCCTCAAGGCTTTAGCACAATTTAGGAGATCTGTTTAAATGTACTCAGAGGTTCCACACTGCACAGCTGTAAGAGGAGTTTAGTATTCTTTTCTTGTCCAAGAACAAAAGACTATTACCTTGACATAACCTTTATAGGCGGTTCCTATTCCTCTTTGCACGTCTACACCAAGAGGCCTTTTCGCTTGCTCAGGGGGTATGGGGCAGACCTGAGGTGCGCTATCCTTGCAGGAAACATGGCATGCAAATGAACACACTAAGTACAAAAGAGAAAATTCACAGTGAAATGCATGTACGAGTCAATCAGTACAGGAGATTAAGGCAGTCTACCCTTACGTTCAGCAAATTAATTAATAACTGGCAGTCAAACATTGCAACAGCCCACTATGCTAAAGAGTGAACACACCTAGATATTGTATGAGACTCCCCAAAGTCCTTTTATTTTCTCTTTTAAGCCTATTGCTTCCACAAAAGGCAGAAACTGAGTCCTCATTTCAAGGCAACGTATGAAAGTGTTTCCCAGAAGCAAAAGGATTTGGTCAGCCTCACTAGTGCTAAGCAGCAACAAATACACTCACAGAAAAGAAAAATTATTAATAAAGGACTACTATAAAAGTACTACTATAAAAGTTAGAGGGGACAAGATAAATATCATAGGTGTTTCATTTGATCCAAGTATGCAAGAATACTACAAAGTAAAACTAAACTGACCAAAAAAATAGAAATGGCTAAACTATTAAACTGAGTAAACAGACTTGAAAACATAATAAAATAGAAACCAGGGAAAAAGGACTGAAACGCTGTGTGGTGAAAGGGGAATATATCTTCCTGTGGCACTAGCAAGGGACAGAGGTCTTTAGGTTTCTTGTCTATAGAGCACTTCACAGTAAAAAACCCTCAGAATACATGTCACTTCACAAGAGACAGACTACAAGCACTGCAGAATGAATTAACATGTTATACTGTGGCATCCATCCCACAGTTTGCGGGCCAGACCTTTCCACAGAGATTTTTGCCTTGTTTATCTCAATTACCCTGTTTTTACTAGTGGGCTTGGGAAGGCAGTGAGCGAGCAGCATGGCAGTGATCTGTCCTCTGCTTCCTCCTAACCGCATCACTGAAAGCGAGCGGTTGGCAGATGCCCTAGGCACATCTAGACCCATAGTTATGAAGGGTCAAAGGATTCCAGAAAACCTGGGAACAGTCTGCTTCTGCTCAAGCCACAGGCTGCATGCAAAGGACTGCAGGTGCTCCCCGAGACTAGGTAATACGATCATCTCTTTCAGGAGGCATCATAATTATATGGGACTGTGCACATCAAGGCACACTGGTTGCAGAACAGGGAGAATCTGCAGGATATAGGCAGCTCCACAGGCCTCTGGCAGTGCAGCTATATTTTATCATAGTGTCTAGCATTAAAAAGAGGAGGAATTGAGAAAAGCAAGTGATTGGGAGTGGCACACTGCAAAGTTTTGTTCTACTCAAGTCATCTCTATTCTTATGTCAACGTGATTCTAGTTCTTCCTGTAGCTATCCAGATCTGGAATAGAAGAGGCAAACTGGAAAACTAACGATGCAGAGCTTAACCAAAATACATGAGAAAAAAAAGAGCAAAGCTGATAGCTAAGGGGTGAAAAGACCCATTTCAAACTTGCAGTTAAGAGATGCAGAAATCGAGTTCAGAATTGTCAGGAAGAGGAGCCAGAAGGCAGCCCCAGGGCAAGTGCTGACAGAGCAATAGGTGCTCCTGGGGAAGAACGGCCACCAGAAGATCTGCCATGAAAAAAGCCCTGAACAGTAGATGAGGCACATACAAATATGATACTGAAGGTGTCAGCGAGCAGGGTGACACAATCAAGAACTAAGCTAAGCACAGGAATACAATAAGGTTTTCTATACTGTAGTGTCTTCAACAGATTCATGGACTACTTAGTTCATGTGTCTATTCAAGATACAAACAAATCTTTTCAAATAAAAGTAACTCTATATACTCAAGCATGGAATTCAATAGTGACGTATGCATCACAGAAGGAATTTTAAATAAAACTAATGGACAGAAAGACAGCCTAGAGGCCAAATAACTTAGCAAACAATCCTCCCAACATACGAGGTTTATGGTGAGGGGAGCACAAAATAGATGCAGATTTGTGTTACCAGAGCATCCCTCTTGTCCTCTCCACTACTGAAACAGAAAGCAGTCCTGCCTTCTCCCCCCCGTCCCCCTCAACTCACGCTCTAACAGTGCTAATGTTAGTACAATTAATCAGCAATATGAAAAGGAAGCATAAGGGCTTATATTAATTCTTTGACTTTAGAAGTCTGACAATAATGGAAAAGAAAGGAGAGTGACTCAGTGGCAACCACCCCTCTTTTTCATTCCTTCCCCAAAGAAATGGTTGCCTTAAAATAGATGAGTGTTTTCAGAGGATTTCAGGGACTTGCTGACAATATAGAAAGTTTACTTGACTCACCGTCACAGGCATAACCTTGTCGAACTAATCCCACCATAAGAGAGGTGCAATGACTACACTGAGTAGGGCTTGTGAATGACTTGATATTGAGCTGGTGAGCTTTAGGCTGAAAAACACATTTGGGATAAAAACAGCTTTTCACTTTCTGTACTTATGTAATGCCAGCATCTCCCTTCACCACCCAGTATATCAGTGCATGTTATGAAACATGGGCTTCTTTTAAGTAAGTGCAGCTGGTAAAAGGTGCTGCAAGAAAACAAAACTGCACAAGACACTCAAACCCAAACCTAAAGCCAACTATTTTTTGTCACCCCTTCTGACAAATTAAACCCCATCAACTTGTGTTTAGAAATGTTTGACTGTAAACACAGACCTAACAAACACACGCATGACAAACCCAAACAGGACAAGAACAAACATGAAGGGCTAATTTATAAATGATTTTTTTTCCTTTGTTCTTTAGAATAAAGTTAGCACAGTCCCCCTACCTTTGGTACAGCTAGAGAAATGGATTGAATGGTGGGGGAAGGAGCAGCAGGCATCCTCTGAAGCCGAATTGGTTCCTGAATCACAAAAAACTGTAATTGAGCAAAATGAGGCTTCAAGAATTTCTTTCAAGATCGGGGTGGCAAAGTTTATTGTTTTCTGATTTTTTTTTTCATTTTTGAAAATTATAAAAAATTTGTCATTAACATAGCCATTCTGATTTAATAGAAACAGTTTGTGTTTTAAAGCACTCACAGGAAAGCCTGCACACTAACAAACAAGTAGCAATACAGAAAACATATGAAAATGAGGTACATCAACATACACAGAGCCAGCAAAAAGCTTTAATTTGCAACTGTCCTCAAAACAGGTGCAATTAACACTGACACGTTGCAAATAAGCAACATTCACTCCTGCTTCTTCATAATGAATGCTGCAATACGTATTTATAAACAAGACAGAGAGACTTTCTGGTGAGACTTCAGGGTAAAATAACGGCTGTCTTACTTCTTGTTGTTGCTCTGCAGTTACAACTGAAGTAGACGGTGAAACTTCTGACTTGGGACCCTGTGTCTCCTGCTCACTAATAGAACTGGTCTGCAAAAGTGACAGCAAACATGTTAGATTAGATACCACGGAGCTGATGAAGTGTTCTCCCATCAACAAAGGGAAACAACAAACAGTGCTGATTTCTATATGCAGTGCACGTACATCTAACAACTTTCCACTCTGAAAGAAAAAAAAAAAATCTTTCCTTACAATAAACCCTGCCGCCTGACAGAAAAGCTGTAAAGATGGAAGTACTGAAATGCAGAACCTCGTAAGTAGGCAGCACAAATGCTGGAACAGCCGCCTTCTCCCAGCAGGGCTGTGTCTAATCTCTTGCATGCAGGTATGGAACGATGTTGGAGAAGCTTGGCAATCATCCATAAAATAGCTTATTTCTCACGGTAACTCACTACGCTAGGATTTTTCTAGCACATAGCAGCCAGCAATTCTGACAAAAAGAAAAATCTTTAAAGTAGTACTACACAATCTCCTTAAAAAAAAAAGTTGTTTAAAAATGGTTGGCCTCTGTCATTGAAAGAATTGTGTCTACTTAATTACATTGTCTTATATTTCTCTAAAAATTTAAGACTAGCATCCACTACAAGCTTTCTATGAATTTCACACTTAAATTAGCAACTACTAATTGCCAGCACAAGGGGGAAGTATGCTACAATTCCAGAGCTAAAGAAGCTGGGTGTGGAAATAGAAGCCTGTATTACTGTACTCTGAGGACATCATGAAAATCATGATTAACAAACATCAGATTAGAACTCACATCAATGATGTAATTAGCACTAAAGGCAACAAAATAATGAATCACTCACTTCCCAGCGAGTTTAGACAGGAAGACGACTCCAGTTCAGTTAGCTCACTAAATGTGTTCAGATATTTGTTATTGTTTTTGTTATGAACTGATTGGTAGGGATGGGCCATTTAAGATCAAATTGTACTACCATGTAATAAGAACGATTAAAAAATGCTAAGTGTGACTCAGCTTTAGCCATATAGATAGTCAAAATACGAAACAGTAAGCCTGCAAAGAGGTATTACAAGAAAACTAAAACTAGCTCTCTTTAGTGGACTGCGTTATAGAGAAGTTAAGAAAGCAAAATATCTAGTTTTAAAGGCCATTTTTACTATGACAAGTCACAAGAAAATAAGGAGACAAAACTACTAGCAAAAACTTACTTCTTCCCAAAAGGCTAGCAGAGAAGATGTAGACGAAGAAGAAACAGAATCCTTTGTTGTAATGGATATGAGGGATAAAAATGGTCACTTATCACCCACAGGAAAACTTCAGATAGAATATTAGTAGTCTAGCTAAATAAAATGTTTTATATGGCCAAATGATATTTATTCAAACTAAATTAGCCTAGAGCAGATAACACTGACTCTCCTTATCAGTACACATGAAAAAAAATGTTAACGAAAGTCATTACGCACAGTATCAGCCATTTTAATGTAATTAATCAGAAAATGCCACTTGCATTGCCATAGCAACATGTATTTATTGCAGGATCTATGGAATGGAATCTTGATTAGTTACAGGATTGATACTTTATATGTTACTGTTTTAAGTGTATCTGGTACTTTTTATGGTGATGTTCTAAAATATCAAGGTCAGTGGGTAGAAATTATTATTCAGATAGTAGCATATATCATGTTTCTCTCTCTTCCCTCCACCTCATGCATGTAGCACATCTTGCTGCTTCAGTAAGAAAGTCAACATGGACGTTTTGTGACCCCAAACAGCACATACACAAAGTGTATGCAAATATCACAGCATGGCCACAGGTTCCTTTTAGCAAGTGACAACTTGGGGGGAAAAAAAAAACCGAAACAAAATACAAACACCTAAAAATAGAGTGCATGTTTCTGATATAAAGTCTAACCAGACTAATGGAGTTTTAACCTGAGTCTCTTTAACTCAGCTCCATAAACAGATTATTTCTCTCATTTCAAGCTCTTGGTTTTATCCTAAATTATCTGTGTGTTTCATCAAAAAAAAAAGCTTCAGGGATCAAGAGTTCATGAAGTAAGGAAATGTGATTCAATGTTGCATTTAACAGCTGCTTCCTCAGGGAACGTACGAACCTTTTCAAGTGAAACGCCCACTTGGAGCTGTGATTTGTATGATTAATTTTCTGAGGATCACAGGGTGTGTCATGATCAACTTATTATACCAACATCTGTGGGTCCTCTGATTCCCTTCCCGATTCCTTCTATTCTAACCACTCCACTAAGATCTGGAGCCAACAACTTTACCTATCTGCTTAAACACTCCTTGAACTGAGTGAATATTTTCCCATGTATTAAACGGCATCTTCCAAGTGCAAAGCATTTAATCCCTTATTTGTAACAGGGTGTGCCAGCCTTTCAAAAAAACCTCCAAACACGTATTATTTAGCCAAATGTTTGAGATTAATTATCTCCCATTCTAGCTTCTTTGTTCAGATGCCAGCTTCTCTACAAAATGCCAGGCAATCTGACATGTACAGGACATCCAATTCTGTGCCACGCTAATTTGGCTAATGTGCCAGATCCAAATGTGCCATACATTGCCCAAGCATTACTTTTACGTACTAAAAGTATAATTCAGTTATCACATTTTTATAATTAATTCACACAATAACTCACTCTGAAAGTCAGATCACGTGCAAGAGGAGAGGTGTTGAAATATTCAAAAATGGAATCTTGAAAGTCTGGAAGTTTAAGACCTACAAACCAAAGCAGAACAGGCTTAGCTAGAAGGCAGCACCACAGGTGGCGTTAGAACTGTTAAAACACAGTAACTTTAATTACCTGAATCTGTTCTGTATTTTTCTTCCAGTTTTTTCTTCAAACCTTCCATCTCTTCCAACAGTTCCCTATTTTTGGCTTCTGATTCCTTCAATTTACTAAAACAATATAATATGATTAAAATGAAATCTGAAATATCTCAAAGGTAGAAATTTCAGTGCACAGGAGTATTAATATCTGGTTCTACACCTTAAGAGTTTTTGAAAAAGCAGGATTTTTTGAGGAGTGGTGGTGGTTTTTTAAAAATACTTTTAAGGCTGATTATTTTACTTTTCCCCTGAATAGACACCTCACTATCTGACTAGACAGCAAAAACTGTACTTGAGACTTCTGTTATCATTGCAAATATATGGCAAACAAAATTATTTTAATAGTAGCTTGGCTTTTAATTCCCAAGAATAGGTCTACTTTCCAGTTAGAGTAATAAAATGTACTGAATTTGCTTTCATTCTTTTTTTTTTTAGCTAAGGTGCCCAAGTTCGGTATCTTATTACCAAGCTATTCACAGCAGTGAAATAGGTACTTGAAGAAATTTTTACAGTTCTCATTTGACTATGTAAGAAACGTGTTGTCTGTAGAACGAGATCTTTCCAGCAAAGTTCAATATCCCAGGAACAAGGAGCCATTGTAAGAAAGTCGTTGCTGTTCTAATCAGCAGTTTAGAGCAGCACATTAAAACTCAAAGAGAACCAAAGCCCTTATTACCTTTCAAAAGATATGTTTGCATCTTTAACTTTTCGTAATTCTTCTTGAACTAGTTGTTTGGCACGGATTTCTGCATCAAGGGCAGACTGTAATTCCAGCCTCGCTGACATATCCAGCTTCTGACTGCGTCGCACTTTCCAAAGCGGATCCTGTTGCAGTAAGTTACTGAATATTAGTATCAACTGACTAAAGATATTTCTGTTCTTGTTCAAAGACATAAATTAGTCTTCACACTGTTTCAGAGAATGTTGTTAATTAGTTATGGACAGTATACCTTCTGCATGGAAATCAGTCTAGAGTCAGGCTTTGTTACATGAAAATTAAGTCAGTCTTTACTCCTAAGGCCAGCCCCGAGAAATTCCAGTCACTGGAGCTAAGAGAGCAAAACTGGAGTGAGGATGACTCTCCACTGGCCAGTGAGGATTTGGTTAGAGAACTAGTATAAAAACTGAAAACACACAAATCCGTGGACCCCAACACGGGATGAATCCACGTGTGCTGAGAGAGTTGGTTGACGATGTGGCTGAGCCATTCTTCATCATCTTTGAAAAATCATGGGGAACGGGAGAGGTCCCCGAGGACTGGAAGAAAGACAGTGTCACTCCAGTCTTCAAAAAGGGCAAGAAGGAGGACCCAGGCAACTACAGGCCAGTCAGCCTCACCTCCATCCCCGGGAAGATGATGAAGCGGCTCATTCTGAAGACCATCTCTAATCAATTGGAAGAAAAGAAGGTTATCAGGAGTAGCCAACGTGGATTTACCAAGGGGAAATCTTGCCTGACTAATCTGATATCCTTCTGTGAAGGTGAGACCAAATGGGTTGAAGGGAGAGCAGTGAATGTCATTTACCTTGACTTCAATTTTTTTATTGATTAAACCACTAACACAATATGCTTGCAACCAAAAAGCTGGATTACTGAGCATGGAAGTCAAACTGAGAGAACACACTGAAAATGCTTGGATTTCATTGTCCAAGCTAGAAAAGAGTTTAAAATTTACACAGTGACATATTGGACTTCCAAGTATTAGATAAATGTCAATATTTAATGTAAAACATATTAACCTAAAACATACCAAGAGTGACAAAACCACAAAAAAAAATTAAATAAATTGAGTCCTGGGATAGCCATGATACTTAGAAAATTTGCCTAAATAACTCTTAGGCTTGCTAAGTAGCATACACTATACTTCTGCACACACCATGCAGTTTCACCCTAACACCCCAAAGAGCTAATATTCTGAGCTTTTCTCGTGTGGACTACATTTTTTTATATTCCCTAACGGATACCTCTTTAGTCACATGTAAACTTGCAAAAAGCAGTCACGGAAACGAGAAGCACTTTTTATGTTGAGAAGTAATGGCCTTAGAGCAGGTTTTGCTGAAGTTACAAAACCAGCCGTAATGTAAGGAAGAGACAACGTTCTTTATTGCTACAGTAACCAAGAAGAAAATGCCAACTGCACTTGACCCAATCTTTCTTTTTATTAAATCTCTCAATACTATAACTGTCTCTTGATGATGCAGGCAAACATTAGCTCATCAGAAGTCATAACCTTCTCTTAGTCTCTCCTATCCACAAGTTTGGAAAGGGTCAGTAACTCATCTGTTTAAGCCAGCAGCAGGTGGACTCTGCATGGCAGGCTAGGCAGACCGGCCTTACGAGGGCCATGGGCTCCCATGCCTGGCTGCCAACGTCTCTCCCTGCCTGTAGGCTGGTACTCATTACCTTCCAAGGTAAAACAGCGTTTTTGTCTTCGAAATCATGCTCCCTTGTGAGAGCTCTTCTGTTTTGCTCATATTTTGGGAAGTCATGTTACTACTGTACAGTGTGTCACTAGTTTGTAACAATATCAACCACCTAACACTTGCTCTGAAATAAACCTCACTTTGTTATCTCACTGTAACAGCAATTAAAACTATACACTTGCATCTAAAACGGTGAGGTACATTTCTGTACTCCCCCTTAATGGTCTAAGTTATTGTTTCTTCTCTCCTCTGTATTGTTTAAAGAAGTTTGTGATGGCAGATATTAGTATGAAACAATCATCCCTGTAATGACCCAATGCTGATCAGGTTATCCAGATGGTTTTCATAAGCAATAGATAAAAACTAGAAAGCAGAGCAGAGCATTTATCAGAGAAGAATATTGATTATGAACAGACAGCTGAAACTAGAAGTGTAGCTTCTTAGGCATCCCCAGGACAGCTTGCTATCTTCTTACCAGTGTTCGTGACCCCAGACTGGAACTTCTCAATGATTCTAGTTCTTCTGTCATCTTGGAAGCTAATGCTTGGAGATAGCCACGAGCATCCTTCTCATCACTTACCCTGTTGTGCAATTACAAAAATCTGTTACTTCACAGTTTCATGGGTCACAGCACCAAATACTGTACCTTCAAATAATCAGTGTCTGCACTGGATTTAGGGACATAGCAGAAAGGAACAGAGCAAGGAAAACTCTCCCAGCAACAGAAAACCAAATACATCTTAGACTGTCTGCCTTAGATTTTTCTTTTATCTGTCTCGATTGTGGCAGTTGCTAGGGAAACTGAAGTTTCCTTTCCACCACCAGCAAGAGTTCTGCAGACATCTCACTGTTATTGTTTGGAACACGATCTGCATATTACTTGCTCAATTTTTATAAGGGCTACCCTTCAAGTCCTTCTTGTCTTGCATGCTGAAAATACTTGCACACAGCTTGCAAAACAGCAAGTAACAGAGGGAAGAACTGACCTGTGAATTAAATGCAAATGCTTGTTTAATACAGCTAGTGAGGTTCTTATGGCAACATTGAATCTATATGGTAACTTTTAAATCATGACCATATTTCTGAATTAATCTATTAAAATATTCCACACTGGGTGATTTAATGATCACTTTAGAGACTGAAGCAAGCTGACACCAAACGCCTCTCCTTCATACTTAGTAGCATCTGACAATTTCACTTGTCATTACTACACAGCAACATTAGAAAGTAGAAAAGAAACAGTGAGTTGACACTCAGGAGTGCCATGCTTCTGTTGATCCCAGAAAGGATCAACAGAGAGAAAGGGCCTAGCTATACACTAATAAAAGAGCCAGTCAGTATTTAAAAAGTTGAAAGTAGCCATCTAGATCTCTAACCAGCACATACCATTGAATAATTTCTGCAATCTGAGCTTCCCAGTGAGCAACAGATTCCTTCTTTGCTGCTAGGTCTTGGAGCTCATCTTCTAGCTGTCTGTTCTGTGCTGTTAATTTGTCCACAAAGGAGCAGAGCTGAAACAAAAGATTAATCTCACCTGTGACTTACATCAGTTTCAGACTTTTTGCATATGTGTCTACACACCTATAGAACCTGAACTAACAAGACCACCACGGGCTATGCACATGACTAAAGAACTGCAAGGGGTTCTTTTCTTGTGGAACTGGAGGTTAGCTTCTGAGCATAGAAGAACACATTGCCAGTTCACACAAAACAACTGAAAACAAAGGAAAAGAAATGCAAGCACAGAGGTCACGAAGAGCAACGAGGCTTAACTGTGAGCCATCAGGAAGGCACATGGACTTTGCAAACGCTTCTCTCTCTGTGCAGAATTCAGGAAGGAACCAGAAGATGGTGCCCTTTGAGTTGTGGGAATCAGTTTCACTTAGAGAAGTATTAAAGTTACTCTTTAGCCAGATCTCTGACATTTATATAGTGAAAATAACATTTATTTTATTCAGATGCTGCCTGAATAGTCACAGAACTTGTTCTGATCAATGAGTAGACTACTTCAACATCAGAAAGTAACAAACTAAGAATCATATTTTGCTTAAAAGTGTTCCCTAAAATAATTACCCTCTCATTTTCTGTCGTTAGCTTTTTATTATCTTCCAAGAGCATAGATCTTTCACGCTCATATTTCTCTTTCATTGTTCCTACTGCTTCCTCCATTTCACTGTGCCTAAGGAGAAGGACAAGAAACAGAAACATATTGTAACACTGCTGAATCTGTAGACTGGGATTTTCAAAATGGAATAAACAGAGTTAAGGTGAAATATGAACCTGCACAGATCCCTATGCAATGCAATACACACACAAAAAGAAATGCATAGTTAATGAATCACGCCCAAAAGCTTACCTTTCTCGCTTTGTTTTCTCTAATTTATCCTTTAATATCATGATCTCTTTCTGCAGTGCAAGCTGATGGCTCTCTGAATCATGTACTTCCTTTTTCACATTTTTAACTTCCAGAACATGTGATGCTTCTCGTCGGACCAACTCCTCTTCATAAAATAAGATTTTCTTTTCCAACTCAGACTTAATTTTGGAAAGTTCCTGCTGCTGTTCTAGTGTGGCACCTGCTGCCCGGCCTCCCTGCTTCAGCTGCCGTAGAAGAGGAGAAATCATCAGAAAGAGACTATTATCTTTGTATTTTGGGACTACCATTTAAAATTAGAATTGTCCAACTGGTGGCACCTGGGAAAAAATGATTTGAGCATTGAGTGATTTGAAAGGGGCCTGTCTCCAAGCATTAAGTCTCTTAAGCAACTGCTCTGCTTATGTGACCCTAATAAGCAGTTCAAATAGATTGCAGAGATAAAAAATTTGGACCACATACATTCAGTATCTGCTCAGCATTTATATAAACATTTTCAAGATATTAGTGTCCAATGAGATATTAGTCTTTCACAAAAAAACTTCCAAATAAATCTGAACAGGTTAGATCAGGTTTCTAGTAGTACTGCAGGTTTTTGTATCAACAGTTGAGTAAGCAAAACTATTGCAGCTCCTGTGCCATCTGTGAACATTCGTGAAAAAACACATAACCTTTAGAGCTTCCAGTTCATTTTCCAGTTGTTTGGAGAAGGCCTCACTGTGCTCACGAAGCTTGCGTTCTTTTGATGCTTCTGCTACAACCTCCTCAAGATGGGCTTCCAGCTGTAACAAGAGTTAATTAAGTCATTTCCACACAAGATCATGCTACCTGTATCATTCACTTCCTTTCCTGCACAGAGATGAGCAGCAAGTTTTCCTTATTTCTATTTTAAGTTACACCACTATAACAATAATCTCAGGATGTCATGCTAATTGTTTTGCCTTCAGGGATCCAGGCATCCATCTGTCTCATGCAGTAAAACTATTACTATATGACTTTTTGTACTGATAAGAACCACAACAAGTACATGCAGGGGTAACTGCACAGCTTCTACTAATTCTAAGAGAAGAAAATGGCACTAGGAAGTCACTGCAGCTGCGAAAGAAAACAGTGCCCCATATTCCCAGGTTAGCTCTATGCCTCAGTATCTACTAAAGCAGCTTAAAAATCCCAGGTTTTGAGCCCAATTATTGCAAAACACTTCAAATACAAACACTGAACACTTTAACCTTGCAATTATGGAACAAAATAAGCTTGATCATCCCTTTATTGACTTCAGGAAGCTTATCAGAAAGACAATTTAGATTCAGTGGCAACTAAGGCAACTACTGCTATTCAAACAACAGTGGCGTAGTTTTAAAACCTGACAGGAAGAGTTGTTTTTCTGCATTCAAATTCAACTAGCAAAGCTGTTTTTAAAAGGACTGTTTTTAGAATTGTAGGCCAAGATAATGACCTTATAGACTATGTTCTGAATAGAAGATTGACACAGCTGTTAGGAAAGGGAGAACAAAGGAATCTGTAAGAACAAAGACAGGAGATTACAAAACCCTGCATGGAATACTTACCTTAACAAGTACCAACATTTGAATGCCTGCCTTGCTCTGCTCTAGAGACGAGGTGCCACTGCCCTATGCATCAAATCCGGTGTCACAGCCTGTCCCAGTTAACTGCCACTTCTTATTCATAGACAGAGGTCTGAGAAACTTCACATCTTACTACATTTTCACACTGTCCTTCAATTCACTAGAAGTTTTCTAGCCATATTTATATAGCTCTTGAATCCCTATATTCTACACTTCACCCAGAGAACACATAAAATTTGACGATTTATCAGCGATTGGGTTAACAACAATAGCTGTTTCTTATGCCCTCTTCTGGTTATCCACTTCATTTTAAGTAAAACTATAAATTGCCTAGAACATTAACTGGAAATTAACTTGCTCAAAGATATTACAGACATTCTCTACAATTGCTAACTACAAAGGAAGGAAAACCACATATTTAGTCTGCATCATTACTCCATCCAGCTGAAGACAAAAATTCAGTTGAAAAAACAAAAAACGCAGTCAGAATACTCCAACCTTAAAGCACATGAAGGCATTGAGATTTCTACGTTTCAAGCTGACTATGAGGCAGCCTACAAAAATCAAAACACTTATAAGCTGGGCATATAGCAAGAATAGTTTCCTCCAGATTAAATTCAGCCTGAGTACAAAGAAAATTCAGTTCATTTCTGATATGTCAGTAAAATTTTTAGAAAGAAATTCACGATCTATTTTGTGAATGACAGCAAAGTTATGTAGAATTATGGGGCAATTTGTTACAGATTTACAAAGTGAGTTATCGTTAACAGTCCCAATATTTCAATACAATCACATATGAGATACTGGATATGCAGTAGCTGAAGCATGTTACTACTAGCTATTTTATCAAGCTACCTCTTTTCTGATCTTCTCCGATTTACGAATGTCCTGTCGCATCGCATCAATTTTCTGCATGCTCACTTCCACCTCTTCTTCTTTGTCACGAAGTTGCCGGGACAGCTTCTGCTTTTGAGACCGCAAGTCGCCCATCTTCTCACTGAGCTCAGAGAACTCCTGCACAGCTAGCTTTCTTTGCTGGTGGGCATCCCTCAATTCTTTGGATTGCATCTTTAATCTCTCTGAGGCTTCAACAAGTTGCTGTTTTAAATAAAAATTAAAAAATAAATTAGTCATTTGAACGCTGTATAGTCTTTCCAAGAAGAAAAGAACTGGACTTCCACGATGTCCAGCAACCTCCTGCACTATGTCGTTCCTGCTCTATAGCACAGAGTTTATAGCCATCAGCGCAGCATTTCAGCGGTGCGAGTCAACCCACCACGGTTCTGTGATGGCAATTACAGCACAGTTTTCCTGCTGCACAGTGGCTTCCAGCTCTTCTACTCCGTTGCCCATGCTGTGTGCACTGATGAAGGTGCGCTTCAGCTGGGCTATTGATCCTGCTGCCTTTAGCAGGGAGAAGCTCTAATTCCTACATGACCATTCTCAGGTGCTTCCATGGTTTCTAACACAGCAATAACCTTTGTGTTTTTGCAGTTGCATGGCTCTCCATTCTCCACTGAGGTGGCAGACCAAAGGACCTCGCTAGCACAATAACCTTCAAACACTGGGTGTGCTGCCCCCCGGCTTATCTCTAGCAAGCTTGGTTTTATCCCCTGGTTCCCCCTTAAAAGATCTTTCAAGGAGCTCTGCTACTTCCCATGCAATGATCCTTTTTTCCCTGTTCGAGATAGGTGTATATACCACATCTGTTGCCAACAGGCCTGGTGTCATGTAGACCAACCCATGTCCAAAAACCCCAAAATTCTGCCAGTGACACCAGGCTCAGAGTCAGATACTGATCTGCTGGCTCCTCTTGTTTCTTCCCTTGTCATTTTCTGCAACGGGAAGGACAGAGGAGAACACTACTTGGGCTCCCAATCCCTTAACCCAAGAGCCCAAGTCCCAAAGCCCTGAAGTCTCTCTTGATTGCCCTTTAACTTCTACTGAAACAATCAAGAATGATTAAACAGTTAAAATAAAACCATTCTTTTGGTGTTCAGTCCATTTAGCAGAAGACATTTGAAACAAGTAAGATACCTATCAACTTCCAAAAAGGACAGTGTGCTACTTTGGAAAAACTACTGTATATCTAATGAAATTAACAGGTTCACTAACTTCTCGGTATGGTTTTCAAAACTAGCATTTAAAACACTACAACTGCAATCATAAAAGAACTGTTTTATTACTATCTTCCATGATCGTTTTTAAATGTATTTATCTTTGAATCAATACCTTATGAAGGTCCTCCTTTTCTTGCCGCAGTACTTTGCACTGTTTTTCTAGTCCTTTCAACTTGTGTATAGAATCTTCATGTTCTTGTCGAAAAGCCACTGCATCTGCAAGCTGTCCTTCCAGTTTACTTATATCTGTAGATTAATACATATTAAAGGTAACTGGTCCCAAATTTATACCAATAAAGCAAGTAAAATGACTCAAGTAAACTGGCACTACTTTGCTGGGAAAACCCACTTCTTCCTCGTTCCCATAATTTTAGGCTGTTTAAGATAATTTTGGGGCATTGACACCTTCAAATAGTTTTAATTTTCTCAGCCTATTAAAGAAACCCTCCCAAAGATTGTGATCTCTAAGTGAAAAAGCCTTAGCAAAGGATTTGTTTTGTTTTTGAGGAATGCAACTTCTAGCCCTTGAAAACAGTGAAATAAACCTGAGTTGTTCTAATTCCAGTTCTAGTAATTTGTCACCCAAATAGCTTTCGTTATGTGACAAGCAAGGCTACAGTCAGTGCATTCAGCAAGACAGGAAAGGACTATTTATTTCCTAGAGCAGATAAAGCACTATCTGGGAAGCAAACATCATCCTGCATGAGGCAGGCAGGAGACTCAACTGCCCATATTCCTGGCAGCATGTTCTCCTGGTAGTTCTTTCTTTATTCTCGAAAAAAAAATCAAACAAATTTGATTTGAAATTATCACCTTTAAGTGCCACAAACCACAGTTATATATTTCTGCTCAGTCTTAGAACTTGTAAGAAAACAACTTGAAAGAAAAGAAAATGAATTGCCTATCTCCATTTGGTTTTCATTACTACTTCTTTTAAACAAATAAGATTGCACAGGGAATAACTGTCTCACATGAGTTCCCCTGATATCTGGGGCATAACAGGAAATTGGACTATGTATTCACTGATCCCCAACCACTGTTGTAATGATTAAAGTATTATTCCTTTTTCCCAATTCAGCACAAACCTCTTCCCACCCTACATTATTTTTAAATCAGACCATAATGCTAGTTTTTATATTTCACAGAACACCACTGGCTGAAGAGCTAGATAAACCTGAACCATATGCAGATGTAACACCCTAAATCAAACTGTTTAGACAAGCCTAATTCCAGAATACATAAGAATAGCTTTTTCTTCAAGGATAATCTACATAGGAGAGCTGACCTGATTTCTGTAATGCATGCACCCACAATAGGGTTACACTGCCAAACTGCAGGGAATAAAACCTCAAAACAAACAACATCAGCAGCTCATCATCTGAACTCACTTACACTATACTACAGGCCCCTATAAATCTTTCATCCAAGTCATTAGGATACAAAGCTACCTTTAATTTATCGTCAGTTCCCACTTAAAAATTAGACACTGAAGGAGGTTTGTATGGATAAACTAATAGCATTGTCACGCAACAGATTTTCAGTGATATGGATGAGTCAGTCTTCTCTCAGGATAGATGCCAGTATTTGTTTTTCTACAATGCTCAGTGCTTCCTAATTAATGCATCACTGAACAGAAACACAAAAGGAACAGGAACTCAGAAATACATAAACACGAACTATTGTTACAGGTCCTCTCACCTATCCCCTTATGTTACCAAAGGCAACTAATCTTCTTTTCCCACTGTCTTTTACATCTGCCTAGAAGTAAAACTGCTCCAAAACAATACTCCCCCCAAAAAGGAGGAGTAAGAGAACAGGCTCTAGAAAACAAATTTCATACAAAATATTTAACCAAATCCATCCACAGAATTCATTACAGTCTGAACTCCCCATGCTAATACATGCTATCAGGGCCAAGCAAGTGGGAGAAAAAGTTAAGTGGTCATCTGGAAAAACTGAAATGCCTCTTAATATTGAATGAGGTTTTAAAAAAAAACAACTTCTTTTTTTAGCACCTGAAGAACATTAATTCTACTTATGGCAAAAACAGAGTACAAAATGTTACTAGCGCTAGCAAGATAAATTGTATTACTGTAATAACCATGCCAGAGGCTTACCTGTTAATTTAGTCTTCAACCGTTCAATTTCTTCATTTAATTTTTTAATCTCCTTATCACGGCTTGTATTTACTGTAACACACATTGGACCTTGGAGGTTCTGCATTGTCTGTGTAGATTCTTAAAATTAGAAAAGGAAGGAAAAGGTTTTCAATAAAATATATTCCAATTCCTCCTAATGAGCGGAATTAAGAGTCCAAACAAACACAAACCACTAACCCTGCAGTTTTCTGTTCAAATCCTGCTTTTCTTGCTCTAATTTCCGTATCTTCTTTTCATAGCCTTCTATCTGCGAAGTGTTTTTTAAGTCACGCTGCACATCCACATCTTTGGTTACAGGGTCAGACTGCGTCGCACTCTTTAAGGTGCCTCTATCAGATAAAGAGCTGAAAACAAACACCTAAGTTAGAACATTTCAATAAATACGCACAGCACTCTATAGCAGTGACATGCTGGGATTCCACCAAATACACACCTTAAATTCACAAGAATCATTAGTGCAGTAATTGTTACTGTTGAGTCAACTGTTAGGGTAGATAAAGTTATTACTCCCCAGGTACTGTGTATGCTGCTGCAGAACTAAGATACCTGCATCCGAGCTGGTATCGATGCACATGTATATTCACTTTACAAGCTCCCTAAAATGTTAATTCTCCTATGCCAAATGTTACTACTACCTGACAGTGAAGTAAGCAGCTAAATGTACCTGCAATGAGAGAGATGAGAAACAAACCCAAAAGCTCCAAGTTTGACACAGATGGATTTATGCCCAGGCACATAGTCTTGCTCTGAAAAGGCAGTGGTACTGGGTTCTTTCCGAACTAGTACTGCAGGAGGTAACAAACTCCAGCATAAATGTTCTAACAAACAGGGCAGAAAAACGTTAAGAACAGAGACAAGTATGTTTGAGGGATCTCTGAAGTAAGAGGGAGGTCATTTCAAATATGTGCCAAGTGAGGCATGTTGTCCATGCTCAGAACCATCTGTGTTAACTTAGCCTACCCACAGCACTTTGGAGCACTGAACTAATCTCGAACTGTTCCTGGCAGACACGCAATGAGGACAAGACTTGCTCTCAGCCTCTCAACACAGGAACAGCAAGTTTATACCCACCTGCAAGTGATGCATCCAGTCCCATTTATTTCAAATAGCAAAAATATTAAATGAAAAAGCAGCTAATCTCGGCAAGCTTGAACAAAATACGTCCACACACTTGACAAAAAAAGACTGATAAAGGTTTATCCTTAGGTACACCTATGGACCTTTCTACATGTTTCTAAAAATGAGAATTTCCAGAATTAGCTGCATTTAGGAAACAAGTTCAATGAACAACATATCCTTTGCTTACCTTTCAGTTGTGTATGTAAACCCAACAAATGGTAAATGCAATCCAGCAAAGCCTGTGTGAGAACTCGGCGGCACCACTTCCTGCATGAAAACAACACACATGAAAATTTGAAAGACAACCCATACAGAACTAAACGCATCTGCTTTAGCCCCAACAGTCAAAGAGAGACAGCTATACCAATAGCGCATACCAATTGACAATTGGCAGTTATGCTTCATTGTATAGCCTTCCATTGTCCCTGGACGAACTTTATTTCAGATTAGGTCACTTAATATAATGACCTGAATTAAGGAGTCTCTTGAACCAGCCCTTGAAAGGGCAGCATTTCAACCAGTTCAAAGCACAATGGAACCAGCAGAGGAAAACTCGAAATTTCAAGTTCCTAATTAAAGCGACCTGGCACCAAAACGCGTGCTGTTAGTTTTAGTATGCTAGTTACTGTTAGCTACGTAATCAAAAAACATGCCAAAAGGGCTTCATTTCTTGGAATACAAGCTGATGAACAAATTACCACAAAAGCCCACTACTCCTCCTGACCTGAGTTTTTAAATTACTACACAACGCACTCCAGAATAACAACCTCCTGGTTCTTAGGTAAGCAGAGAAGTAGCAGTGTGAGCTCTCTCACCTGGACAGCTGCGACTGCAAGCACAGGGAGAATATTTTTTTTTACCTTTGAAAAGGAATAAATCCAAATACTAGCTCCTTGTAAAGGTAAACTAAAAAGGCAACTAAGTGGTTTGTTTTTCCGCATCTAAGTATGTTTTAACTTTGACTGACTACCTAACAGCATTCCGCTTCAGCAAGCGGTACCATTTAAAAAAGCAGCTCGTGATTTCTGATAACCCAAAATGCCAGAGATGAAAAATCTGAATTTTTCATATTTGAAATGGCTTATTTTTCATCTCTTACATTACTTATTTTGAAATAAGTTCTCACTACGATCTTATAGTGCAGCAAGCTTGCATACTTGCATTAGTAATGCATAAAACCAAAGACTTACTGGATTCCTTAATACATCATCATCTACATCAAAGTTGGAGGTGTCAGAAGGACTGCTAACATCTGGAATGTAAGGTGCTTCTAGGTTTCGGATGTTATCCCAATTAAGTCCTTCAAAAAATGCATGAGACTTAAAATCCTCTATTCCATTCTGTCCCAGTCTACGCTCCCTACTGCAAATAAGTCGCTGAATAAGATCTTTCGCTTCTTCGGATACATCTGTAACATGGGATGGAAACTGAAATCGTTCCTAAAAAAACAAACAGAGAGTTTTTTAGAGATGGAATCCACTCCATAACTTTCAACAGTAGTTTCAAGAAGAACAGGCAAAATTACACCAATAAAATTGGAAATGAATAGTCAAACATTGTTCTAGTTCCAGTGAGCAGTGGCAGAGTACAATGCAATACATTCAGTGATAAGACTTTTTGTCTTAAAATGGATTGAGGACAAGTAAGTATTTCTCAATTTCCTTAATACAGATCTGTCTGAAACTAATTGCAATTATGGTAATTCTATTAGGACAGGCAAACTTCAACATATCAAAGATCACACAATATAGGCAGACTCTCACTGGTATTCTTAGTCACAGATCCACTGATCTCTTCAAGATGTATTCCCTGAGATTTCATTAATTTCAACTCTGAAAAACCCATTATGGTAGTCAATTCTTTACAAAACATTGTTATATTTAAGTATAATCTATAGGTTAAACAGCTGTTTTTCTTACCAAAATGCAATCCATACCTAGCAAAAATTTACATTATAACAAACAAATAAAAGATCTAAAACTGTAGTTACCACTAACATCTGAAATTACTCTAAACAAAAATCAGGAAAACTTTTTCTGTATTTTAACTAGTTACTACTACCCCTGTACAGTCAAGGTTGGTTTTTTCCCTCCAATAAAAGACAATAGCGTATATACACCTTCATGTAACACAATTTTTCAGGTTTAAAATGAGATCCACATAGATCAAATCAGCGCAACCAAAATTAAATTTCCACTGGAAAACACACAATCACATTGATTGTGTGTCCAAATGAGATTAGAATATTAAGCCTACAAGGACAACAGCTTCAAATTTCCTTCCATGTAGTTTAAGAGCCAGGCAGTCAGAGTTTACGCTGGTTACATTTGCAACCAGTTAGCTTATTGAAGAAATGAAACTGTGAGAGAGATTAATACTCATTGCAGCACAAGCGTGAGTTCTGGTAAGGATTTCCTGTCTTATCCCTCAGTGCTTCACTGTGAGAGCACAGCACTGTAAACACCAGTAACGTGCACTCGTCCTGGGGAGAAGAAAATGCAACAATACAACCTATGCAACAACTTCTGGCTACCTAGGATGAGTGCACACATAAATACCAACATGGTTCTTGAAAGGACACCATGAAGTGGTTTATTCTCATTCTCTAGCGTTCAAAATGTACCCAGAAGTTCCAACACTTTTCAAGCACTTTGACCCTGGACAAACTCCCTGACCTCATGTTCTTCACGCAGCTCAAGTTCATGTTTTTCTACCACTTCCACCCTGAGCAACAACTCCCAACCTCATGTTCTTCATGCAGCTCATGTCTACACCAGTTGACTTGCCTGTTCCCTGTTTTGTACTGTTATCGGTGTGACAGAAAACGTGCACAGCTGTGTAAATAATGTATGACTTCATTTCTCGTTCACAGTCCAGAGGAAACTTACACTGGGCCCAACATAAGAGCTGGTTTTAAATCCAATTTTGTGATGACTGCTTAGGTCTTCCAGCTACAATATCAGCATTTAGAGAAAAATTTCAATTTGGAAAAGAATTCAATTTCTGCAGTTCAGAGAAGCAAATATCCCTAAAACCTGAACCAACAAATCAACACAATACACTTTTTAAATACCATGAAAAAGCAAAGAACTACTAGCACTTCAGTGTCTTTAAGTGATAATAGTTTCTCTGTAAACCTCATAAACTCAGTGAATACACAGAGATTTAATATAGCTCTTACTTCGTGATTCATAATCTTCCCATAGGTTTCCACTAGCGACTCTGCATAAAAGGGTGTTTCACCATACAGCATTTCGTACATGCACACACCCAGTGACCACCAGTCACATTCAGGCCCGTATTTTCCCATTCCATCTTCCATTGCCTGCAGTATCTCAGGGGAGATGTAGTCAGGTGTTCCCACTGCGACCGATGACTGTACCTTAAAAACGAGGTAAACACGATTCTTTTAAGTTTTCATGTTCTCTCATCAACTTTCACACACACACACACACACACACACACACACACACACACACGTCTCACACACAGAGACACAATTTTGGAAAAGGAAGACATTTATAAAATTATAGGAATAAAATAAAGAAAATATTAAGAAAGTAACAATGACCACAAAGATTAAGCTCCAGCCTACTTTTACATAAAATCGGTCAATACGTTTTATTCTGAATACGGCAGAATCCCCAAATAATCACACCTATTGTGAAAGCAGAAAGACAAGAGCAGAATATGTTTGGCCTTTGTGTCTCTTTATACTTCAAAATTTTAATTGGCTGCCAGAAGTTGAAATGAACAGCCGGCTGCATATGAGCCAGCAGTGTGCCCAGGCGGCCAAGAAGGCCAACGGCATCCTGGGTTGAATTAGAAATTTTGTGACCAGCAAAAGAAGGGAGGTGATTGTTCCTCTGTACTCAGCACTGGTGAGGCCGCACCTCGAATATTGTGTTCAGCTTTGGGCACCTCAGTATAGGAGAGATCTTGAGGTGTTGGAGCGAGTGCAGAAGAGAGCAACAAAGCTGGTGAAGCGCCTGAAGAACAGATCTTATGAGGAGCGATTGAGGGAGCTGGGTCTGTTCAGTTAACAAAGAGGAGGCTGAGGGGGGATCTCATCATGCTCTACAATTACTTGAAAGGACATTGTAGAGAGGTTGGTGCTGGTCTCTTCTCACAGGTAATTAGGACAGAACCAGGGGGAATGGTTTCAAGTTGCAACAGGGCAAGTTTAGGCTGGACATTAGGAAGAAATTCTTCACGGAAAGAGCGGTCAGACCCTGGAACAGACTGCCTAGGGAGGTGGTTGAGTCGCCATCCCTGGATGTGTTCAAGTGTTGTTAGGTGTGGTGTTGGGTGATATGGTTTAGGGGTGAACATGTAGTGCAGGGTCAATGGTTGGACTTGATGATCCCAAGGGTCTTTTCCAACCTGAATTGTTCTATGATACGATTCTATGAAATATGAATGGTGTTCGAGTGAAGGGAGTTCAAGTCCTATGTCTGAATTTCACAGTTTCATTTGAAGATCACAAAACAAGGTCTTGTGCAAGCAGTCCCCTATTTTTCTTAAGTCGGAAATTGGTTCAATGCCTACTGCAGAATGAGCAATGAGATGCAATACAGGGGTAAAGTGAGGAATTGCCCTATGCACAAGTAGTAGGGAAGCCCTGACCATCACTCAGGGCAGTGACAGAGAAGCTCTGATTTCCAGGAGTATGTTCTCAGATTTCACGTAGAGTTATAATGGCTCCTTCCAATTTATTTTGCATTTTAATATGGCAAATCCTTGGTAGGCGTTTTATGACTACAGAACGCCACCAAGACCAGAGTTTGTGTCAAAACAGGTGAATGCTGTTGCATGTCATACATTGGCAGCACTGGCACTCCTGGAAGCACCCCAAATCAGGCAAACCAAGCAGGAAGCTTTCCAGCCACTATTCCCCAAACCTGCAGCATTGCCCCAGCACAGAGGTCAGACTGACAGGCCTGTAGTTCCCCAGATCTTCCTTCCAGCCCTTCCTGTAGATGTGCGTACCATTTGCTAGCCTCTGCTCCACTGGGACCCCCAGGTAGCCAGGACTGCTGATACACGACGGCAAGTGCCTCGGTGAGCACTTCTGCCAGCTCCCTCAGCACCCCTGCATGGATCCCATCCAGCCCCACAGATCTGCGTGTGTCTAAGTGGAGCAGCACATCACCAACCATATCCCCTTGGGTTATGGGGCTTCATTCGGCTCCTCCATCCCTGTCTTCTGGGTCCCCAGAGAATAACTAGTCTTACAATTAAAGACTGAGGCAAAGAAGATGTCAGCCTTTTTCTTATCCTCTGTCACTGTTTCCCCTTGACATCCAGCAAAGGATGGAGATTCTCCTTAGCCCTCCTTTTGTTGCTTATGCATTTTTAGACACTTTTTTATTGTCTTTTACCGCAGCAGGCAGATTAAGTTCTAGCTGGGCTCAGTTATGTCCTCATTTTGGATGATTTATACAACAAGTCTGTCATAGCTTCTAGTCTCCTGGTCACCTGTGATTCCAACACATGAATAACAAATTTCTATCTATTTTTATCCCATAGACAGTTGATGAAAACCTCATGAGAACTCAAATGGCCAGCAGAAGATAAGGTGAAAGACAGAAAAACACCAGAAAGAATAACTTTAAAAGGTAGTAGACTGTAAAACAAGGCGAGGAAGATGTCAAAACTGTTTTTATAAGTATGTTGAGTTAAACTATTCCCAGCAACCCAACTAAATTCTGCATCATACATACTGTGCCATCTTCACTCATTTTCAGACAGGACCCAAAGTCTGCCAGTCGTATGTGGCCGTTCATGTCCAAAAGAACATTATCGGGCTTTATGTCCCTGTTGTAATAGAAAGAAGGGATAAGAGTTAAATATGTTATATTAGCTCTGCTTCTAAAGATTAATCTTGCATCAGAATAACAAAGAATTCTATGTCAGATACCCATTGATGCAAACTCTTTTTATTGCACTATTTGTGACCTTCTCCTTCTGCCCAACTTAAAACTTGGCCCACAATACTGAAACCTTAGATTACATCAGATTTTCAAGATCTTCAAAGTTGAACTCTGAATGGTCAAATAACCAAGCAGAACAATTACAGGGAGGCATACTGACTGTAACAGACAGGCAGTTCACTTCAACAACATAATTTATTCATCACAACATATTGTTTAGAGACAAGATAGGTAACAGAGAAAAGGAAATCTTTCAATCTCATGGGGTTTTGCCAAGATTAATTTCTTAACTTCTTATCTAGGAAGATTTCTTTTTTATTGCTTTTCAAAATTTTGTCCAGCATTTATGCTTCCCGGTATTTTTCGTTTGCCATTCAAGGCTTTCTGTACACTACTGCGCAGCACGTTTGCTTCTATAGATACCTAAAGACCTTTGCATTCCGTGTACATGCAGCAGTTACTCCACAAAGCCCCTATATACCCCCAGCTCTGGGATCACAGCAACACCATTTCAACAGGACACAGTAACACGAGAAAGTCTCCAACAGCAAACCATGTCTTTCCTATTCTTACAGTCATCAGCTGGGTATAAAACGATATACAGCACACTAAGGCTACTAAATGACATGGAAGATTCCCATTTCATTCTAGATCCCTACTTGATGCTTTTTTGATATCAGGAAAGTAGCCAAAAAGGATTTACTAAAGCGCATATTAATTGAATTTAGTACAACAATTAATCAAATTTCATGTCACCACTTTGTACTCAAATTCCCACAATGTAAAGTATTGATAAAATATCGATCATCCAGATAATAACAACCCCGATACATACCATGCTGTTGTGTTTTTTTTTAAATTAATAGCCTTGAAATATCCCAAATGATTTTAAGAGCACCTAGTCGATATGTTGGGATGGTGGTGAGAAACGAAGAGAGATGAGCAAGCACAGAAAGCAAAACCAACGCAGTCTTCTAAAGTAACATACACCAGTCTCCTTCCCTTAGCCAACACTGGCTAGCCAACATCATCACGCCATTCTGAAATACTCTTAACTTAACCTGAGCTAGCAAAAAAAGACAACCAAACTTACAGACATGTTGATTTGGGGTTTGGGATTTTTAGATATCATATTTTTTCAAATCAGCCTTTTCAGCCATCAGCGCACTTGTAGCAAGTGTGGGTAGAGCCCTTCCTGTATCTTCGTTCGCGAAGCCTAGCCCTGATGATGATTTTTTCAAATAATATCTACTAGTAATAAACAAAATGATACGTGCTTTACCTTAAACCCACCAGTCTTGTGGCACCGTAAAATCCCTTATTTCTTTTCAAATGTGAAGTTCTAAACACCACTACATGTGCTCAAAAACTTAAAAATTATACAATAGCTTCAGCTTAATTTCTGAGGAACAGACTAGAATTATTAGGACCAAGGAAAAAAATGCACTCTAATAAGCCTTGCTACATAGATGTGTAAGTTGACAATGTCTGAGTTTTAAGGTGCTGAATTCCACAGTTTCATACCTGAGACTTAGAAAAAAACCTTGCTTACTTTAATGAAAGGTCCTCATATATGTAAAAATCCTGCCAGCCCAATACATTTTTCCAACACAAACTTGAATTAACAGTTTAAAATCACTTTTACTTAAAATCACTTTCACTGCTGCTCATGAGTAGCATTAAGACAAAATAGCAAATGCCAATCTATGCCTGTCAACATAAATTAAATGCATGCTTACTTGTTACAACAGAGTAAAATATGCACTAACCCAGAAAATGAGACCATCACACTATGCTTTCCCAATAAACTCCTTAGTAATTTTCCATAAATAAACTTGTTCAATACATTTCAGTTCCAGATATTTTCAACAATCCTTTACAGTCCCATAACGATAAATCAAGCTCAGAAGGTGCAGAGGACTATTAAAGCTTATATATAATCAAATACCAATTTGTTTGGTTTTTTTTTTAAAAGATCACTGTTCACATCCAAAGCATGAGGCAATCTCATCCAACCCATCTCTGCTTTTCTGCTTTGAATATGGATCTTGCTTGCCTAAGGGAACACTGTTTCTGTTCAGAAAAGCTTAATGGCTCATCTCTGAACTCCACCGTTTCCTATCTGCAGCTAACAGGTCCTATAAAGCCTTTAAAGGGTCCTTGAAATCCTCTCCAGAGCAATCATGCTTTCTCCTAATCCATTCCAGTTGCCAAGCAGTAATTTCTTGGGCATTCATACATCTCCTATTCAAAGCGCAGGTTTTGGCCTCGGAGCCATTCATTCCTATTGCCACAAGAGACACTCATAAAGCCCAGAGCGAAGACAGAACTGGTCAGTCAGTCAGGCCACCTTCCTCAGACCCGGGTGCTGTGCTGCCCTTGGGGAACCCCTTTGAATCCATAACATTTTTAAATCCCCACATATTGTCCACAATTACCCACAGGAGTATTACGGAGTTTATGTATCTTTTCTCTTTTTAATATTTGCAACAGTGACCAAAGTCCAAACAGAAGAGGTCAAAGCGTTACAGTTTGAGAATTCGCCATGTCTTTCAAATGTTAATTGCTAATAAAAATCATCTCACCTACCTAATGGTTTTCATTCATAATTTTCATAAAAAAGACAGTAAAACTACTTTTATTTCATAGACTAAGAAACAAAAGCATAAAGAGGTAAAAGGACCTGACCAAGATGTACCTGCTGAGTCAGACACAATGCCAGCATGGAGCCTACTTCTCTCACACCAGGACTTTCAGTGACCTACCATGAACCTATTTGTACGGCCACATAAGCAGTTTTCAGTTAACCAAAAAAAACACTACTCTCACACTCTGTGTTTTCTAACTTCTCTGTTTACTGAAATCAAGCTATAAAGCCAGCACATAAAGAGACAACTGCAAAGGTTTCCAGAATTAGTATAATTTTGCTTTCTAATTGACATATCATACATAGTTGTTAAACCTGGAAAGCAAACAAAGGGTAGAAATTCTCACTTCATCAAGACTCCTGCAATGATGAAACAAAATATTTATCAACTGCCTCCCTTGTGCCACTCACAGCTCTTCTAGAACAGCTGCCCCAAGAGGAAACCGAAAAAGAAGCAAACTGTACCCTACCTTCCTGATCCATTTCCTCTGACAGAGAACGAGGAGTATTACATATTCTTAACTACTACAGAACACAACCTAAGTCAAAACGATGGTAGGCACAGCTCTGAAATACACATCCTGTGTGCAGAAAGAATTAGACTGGCACATGCCCTCTCGTTACAAAAATCGTTTGAGGATGACGTCAGATAGAGATGCACTGATGCTATCATGGGCTTACTGTACACAAATTCTGTAGAATGCCTAAACATTTGCTGAGAATTCAAACTCCTTCAAACTTCTGGGTTAGCTTGGACAAAGACAGATAAACATTAATGAACTGAATTAAGAATGAGTCAAGAAGCCTGACTAAAATGAAAAGTTTTAGTAAAACATCACTGCTTTTAATACCAATCCATCACAAAACTTGACATTTAAAATGCAATACCTTATACAGCTACTACACAGTATATAGCAAGCAAATACCCACAGGAGCTTGCCTGTGCCTTCTGTGCCCATTTGTATACATAGCAACATCTTTAGGACTAATTTCATGTAACTGTAAACGCCTCTTTTTGCCAAGCAAGACAGCATTTTACCTGTGCACATAATGCAGCTCGTGTATGGAATGTATAGCAAGCACCATTTCACCAATGTAGAACCTAGCCATATCTTCAGGAAGTTTGTCTTCAAACTTACTAAGAAGTGTCAGTAAGTCACCACCAACGTAGTAGTCCATCACTAGATACTGAAAGGGAGAAATAAAGCAAGTAAGTACTGAGAGACAGCTGCTAAGGAAAAAAAAAGTTTACTTAACACCTGAAAAAAAACCCTTTCACTGTTTTTTTCCTGTGCGTGGCGAGAGTAATCAAAATTGGTAAGCTTTTGCGCTACTTTTATTTGCTTAGTTAGTGTAAAAAGATATTGCATCCTTTCAATAATCGCAGTCAGGATAACACATCAGCACTGAGCAATTACCATTAAGAAACCTAAGCAAGATACAGCAGCAACAAACAATTAAACCTGAGTGAGTTTACTTCTGTCTTAACTGTAGAGTCACACAAAGAAGATGATCTAATACCAAAACTAATACAGGTTATCAACCCTTAAACTGAGAATTTTGAGTGGATGCAGGAGGGAAAACCCACAACTATAAGTAATACTTGATGCAGCTTAGTCTAAAAGATACATTTCACTGCTACTTTTAGCTCAGCTACCATTTAAATACTACTAGTGGTTCCAAAAGTAGGACTTATCAACATCTTCAAATATTCATCTTGGCACATGCCACATTATGGATGCACAACACAGCAGGCAGGAACTGTATGACACTATACATTAGGGATGCCCATGACAAGCCAGAAGCACTGTCAAGCCAGAGGCACTACAGTGAGAAATTTTAAAAAATCAAACATTACTGTTCTTTTGACTATACTTCAATGAAAAAGTAAACAGCCTCCTAGGCCAATCGGGTGTTATCCTAGCTATGGAAAGGACTAACACAGAGAGGCCCATGTGAAAGAAAAGGACTCAGACTTGCCATTTGTTTCTCATACTGCACAACGAGGATTATGTTTTAGTTAACTTCCTAGCAATATCCACCTAAGTCCAGACCATCCCTTCAAGGACTTTATTTAGTACTACCATGCTTGAGCCATTCTGTTTCATGCTTCCCATATGGGGTTTTAGGAATAACTTTGCTTATTCTAGAATTACCTTTCCAAAGCGGTCATTTTTCTCCTCAAAGTAAAGCAACCTACAATCCACTGTCTCTGCCAGGGATTCATCTTCCACAAGAGGAGCAAATTAAAGACAAGAACCCAAAGGAACATAAAGTGCAACACTAACCACTTCCTCACTATCTTTGAGCTCAAAAGAGTGACTCCAAAAGGCACAGATTTTGATATTCTTCTCCATTTTATTCAAATTACAGCTTAATCTGATAGGTAAATTTCATCACTCATGTTGAAAACAATCAGGCTGTATTGCACAACCGATCAAGGAATGTTAAACATGTGTTGGAACACTGTACACATGTAATGATTATGTACGAAAAAAACAGGTTACAGATAGAAGCCAGCAAATTTTCAAAAGTGATAATGTATTGAAATATTTTCTCTCAAATTCAAGGCTGAGAGAGCTTTCTGCAGGAGCTGAAATATCCTGCCTGTCAAAGAGACAAGGTAAAGCACTTCCCTCAGCTCTCACAGCGAGAACTCAGCTGACCCAAGAAATGAGGCACCTGGATGAGAAGATGGTGAGACATCTCCTATAAGAAAGTAAAATTTTATTCATTTTCCAATTCTCGATAATCTTCTTGCCAGGAGGCACTTCTCCCTTCACACAGGGTTAAAATAAAGGCTATTCTGATGCTGAAATCTAGAAGTACTGTATTTCTTCCAGGGAACTGACTATATCAAACAGGAAGAGTATTTTGAAATCAAAGCAAAAAAGGACATCAAAATACTGTCATGAATCTTCAGAAGACTTTAAGAGGCTAACAGCAGACAAACACACATATGGCCTTCTTCATGAATTAGACTAGGAAAGAAAATTTTTCTGGTTAAGTCACAAAAAAACTAACCAATCTGAATCTGGAAGAGAGATTAAGAACTCCAGGTTCCATACATGTTTCTAATATTCATGAACTATGTTTCAACAACATCATATCTGCTTCAGCAAAATCACCAAAGGCTTAATTAATCCATCTTGACTCAAAGTGTCTCTACAAAAGCTTTCCAAGAAGCAGAAAAAAGCCACGTTAGTATTTCCATGTTATGTCATTTAAGAATTGGCTGTTTAGAGAACACTAACACATCATGTATTTCCCCCTTAAGGTATTTTAAAACTACAGGAGCAGAACCAGAACATTAACTCCAGAACATACACATTATGTAGAATTTTTTTTTCTCACTTATATTTAAGTTCTGGATCATCATATGCTCTACTACTATTAAGTAGAGGTAATAAGACCCAAATTACTTCTAGACCCCCCAAGAGCAGGTACTACTGTTCTAACTTAACATCCTACCTTCTTCTCTTTGTCTCGTTCTGAACCCTTTATCATGCTGTCAGGAGATACTGGCAAAGCCCTACGTGTGGGAAGACACCAAGGTTCTCTCTCTGCTTCGGGGCTAGCTTCTGTGGGTTTGCACACTAGCTCAAATGCACAAACACCTCTGGGAGCAGATACTAGAACCCAATCTGCCTGCCCAGGTTCTGAAACATGACAGCACTCTGACAGATGGAAAAACGTGGCTATAAACTTCTTCAAGCTGAGCAGAGAAGCGAGCAGAGACCTTTTAGCCCTCAGACAAGTGAACCACTAAGCTGGTATGGAAAAGAACCTTCCGCCCTGGTTTTTGGATGAAAATCACTTCCTGATGCATTTTGCTTTTTCTTCACACACCATTTACAACAGAGTGACTGCGATGCAGATACGCTCCATCTGTGGGCACCAGACATTTCCATGGGAAGGATGCTGAGTAACAGAGCACATTGGAAGGCAGCATCTCAGCACATGCAGAACCAGAGCTCAGGCAAGCTGGGAATCTGCTGCCTTTGGCTGCCAGGCAGAGTTGTTGCTTTCCTAGATACTGGATATTAAATTAGATGCTAGATGTCTAAATTTTGCTATTGAGTGAAACATCAACATCTAAATGTCTTTGGGAACTTGGGGAAAAGAAAGGTATCATACTTCTATAGCTTGCTTGGAATAGATCTGAATAAAAAATAGCAACACTGGATCCGTCTTCTATACCGTCATTACTACCACTTGCTATCTTGCACAGCTAACCGTTCTTTCCTAGGCAGCTCTAGTCTTACAAGCTACTTGGAAATACGCTATAGCACATCACAGGCTATTTTTATACAAGTCTGAGGGCTGTTTGGTTCTGGGGGTATCTGAAATTATGAGCTATGTTCATGAGATAGTGCCAGAGATAACTTTGAGAGGCTGAAAAAGTGGATCTATCATAAGCATTCAACAGAAACAGCCCAAAAATGAGGGTCTAAGACCTGACTAATTATTTGCTAATGACATCTTGTTATTCCGAAAATACTTTTAACATGACAGTCAAATTAATTTGTTTTGTTTCAGCACCTGTGAAAATGTTTAAGTATTTTCTAACTCTTCCATATGCTTAGTTCCTGAACTCACTGGCAGCCTTTTATCAACACATTTTTTCTTATTTATTACCATGACTTGCTCCTATTTAAAAAAGGGTTAAGAAGGTGAAAACTTTTGTGTTACAACTATGTCAGTTGTTAGAGAAATATCAAGTTTGCAAACCCAGCCCCAAGTAGCCACACAGAAGCTGTACGGGTCCGTATATTGCAGTATGTTGGGCCTTTGTTCCTGACTAGCACTCTCCTGACTTCTTTACTAAGGTAAAAATAGCTTATATGTTACAGTTCTAATAAGCCACCATTAAAAAAAAAATTAAAAGGAGTAATGACTTTATGAATGGCTGCTAAAGTCTCTCAAACTACTGAGATGACCAACCTGCTCATTTAAAAATGTATTTTATTTAAATATTTTAAGAAAGAGGCTATTTTTTTCCCGATGCTTTTAAAACACCATTTTAAAAATAAAATTTTAAACTACTTTTGCCATTTTTAAACAAGATCTTCTTTCAAAAGACATTCTGAAAGTTTAAAATAAAAGTATTTCACAGACTTAATGTCTCTCAAATTATTTAACTGCAATGTTACACAAAACATTAAACTTAAGCATCTATATACTATAGTACTACACAACTTCCTCACTCTCCTGAAGTTACAGTAAGTTCCTTTGAAGTTTTTCTTCAAGAAGAAGACAAGTTGGAACACTGCTGCAGGGCATGAGGTGGACTGATTTGTCGCGTTAATATTCTTAAAAGTACCAAAAATAAAGTTCTTTCATAACCTAAAGCTTTTATTTGCTGATGAACCAAACATACCAAATAGTTCTCATCTTGAAAGGCATAGTGCAACGTCGTAATCCACTGACAATCTCCATTCACCAAGACATTTCTCTCCTCTCGGAAGCAAGCTGTCTAAAGAAAGAGAGAGGAAAAAGCCATTGTCAACACCAGCAAGTAGTTTTCACAGGATGAATATATATGGATGTTTTATGGGATTATATAAAATTACTCAACAGAGGCCTGTATTCACTGGAATCCAGTCTGCCCAAGCGACAAGCCAGGGAATCTTTGCAGGCTTGTAGTCAGGCATTCAGTCACTCTAATCCTGACTGCGACCTTAAAAAACAAAACCAGAACACCCTCCCCCTCAAAAATAAAACAACCAACCAACCAACATCCCTCCCCTCTCCAAACACCAAGAAACCCACAAACCCAAGTCAACACTGAATCTTTGTTCCATAATGTATTTTTAAAAGACAGAAAAAGATAAACTGTCACTGTAGTCTTTAGCAGAAAGATAATGGCTCTAGGAAAGTCTGGTCCTTCTGAAAGAGATCTTTGTGAAAATAGTTCCATGTATACTTTTCTTACATTACAGTTTCAGTTCTAGACACTGCCAACACACTATAGGAAATAAGCAGATTACTATCTTATCTTTGTCCAGTATAACACATTTTTGCTTACGATAATCTTTCCTCTACTTCAAATAGCACACTGCAACACTTCAGAGAAGCAAGCTCTGTGTAACAGGTTTTCTCAGCACCTTTACATAAAGGCAACTTTCATAAACTTCAAATGAGTCCTTCTTAATAAAAATATTTTAATGTTTTTACTGGATCAGAACCACTGAGATGCAGACCTTGGGACTCTTCCACTACTCTTAATTCAGAGAGTCATTAATATTCAGTAGCTGCAGGTTCAAGTGTTCAGGTTCTAGACAGTAACAGACGATTATTTTTTTTAGTCATTGCCACCTGTCCAGAAGTCTTAGAAAATGTACTACAGAAGGACAATGCCTGGGAAGCACAAGCCTTACTGTCTACTGTTTGCATATTACAGAGACATCTCAACCATTTTCCCCCCTAAGGCAGCAAAAATCAATTTATATTTCTACCAAAGATGACCATGCTGTGGCCACATTGTCAAGTTCGCGATTATTGGTGCAAAGGGATGCAAATTGTAATTAAATATTAACTGAGAGTGGTTTAACAGTTTACAAATGCAAGGCCAAAGTATCACCCTACAAAAAGTTTGGCAGCAAGAGCAGCTCCAAGTAATCCCATCCCCTGCCCGCAGCACCAGAGCACAGCACTTCGCAGTTCTTCTGGCACCACAGTGCGAGGAGGCTGCCAACACAGAAAACTAGTTTGTTTATTTTCAAAGACATTAGTTCCTCAACCCAGTTCACTGTGCAACCTCAAACAGCAAGGGAATGTTATGAACACTTCAAAACCAGTAACGCTGCCGAACACTTTGCATCATGAATTCTAAGCATAAAACTTTCCCTCTCCGCTTACACTGGCTTAAAAGGCCCTGAGACGTGCCTTGAAAAAGCACGACAGGTTTCCTAATCAGCCAGTCAGGACTTATTTGGAACTGTCAAGAGCAATACACTAATGACTATGTATTTTGCTGTCAGAACAATGAATACAAATGGTCCACCTTATCAACACAAATGGCATTTCTATTTTTGCTTGCAACCCATTTACGGATGTCAGTTGATATTTCACTAATCCTTCCTGTATTTTAGTGGCTTCCAACCATATGGGTTTTTTTCTTGTAGCTAGTACACAAAAAAGCATTATTTAGATAACTTTTTGCTATGTTTAATAAGTCATACAAATCAAACAGAAACCAGTATGACAACATGCTTCTCAGACCGCTCATACAGTGGATAATAAAACACCTGAAGTCTACTTTTCAGTGGAACTGCCCATTTAAGAGGCTACTGTATTCTTGCAGGCTTCATTTTAAAAACTAACAAGTTTTACCACATTTGGGAAATTTTAAATACCCGGATGTTTTATGAACTTGATATGCAGGTTATAAAGTCTTGCTTATCCAGAAAAGCCAAATCAAGTGAGCAAACTGAACGGGAAAAGACAAAGGGGCACAGCAGAGAAGACAGTTCCTTTATTGTACTTTGCAGATGAGAAAATTCAGTGGAAAGAGAACTTAGCTGGGCTATTACTTGTCACAAGTGTGTACCGGGAAAACTACTGCTCATCATACATCTTGGTGGATAACCCTCTTCTACTTCCCGTCTGCCTGGGACGATGCGAGGAGCTAGTTGCCGAATTTGAAGACAATTTATCAACAGCTGTCTTCTCCAGACATCTCTACATGCAAAAGTTTCTGTTATTTAGGTAGGTAATTTAATTAAGTCACTTAAAAACTTACTTTAGTCAGCCAGCATAGCTGTATTTCCACTAGCGTGGGAGCCCCCTAGAAGCATTTAAATTGGTTCTGTACTGACCAATGAGTTAACCCAACTCAGATCTCTGTAGAAAGAGCACTAAATTTCCCCCGTAGAGGGTTAAAGGCAGAACTGCTGATGCAGCACAGCCAAGAGTGTGAACTCTCCTGACAGCTCAAAGAACAGCCGAGCAGCAGTGGCTGCCGCCTCTTATAAACTCTTATAAAGAGCGCAGACCGATGGACCAAGGGCGACCAAATCAGGCAAAGGCAGTAGGGAAGAGGGGCTTAACAAGAAGGAGGAGATTTACTCACAGGAAAAGAGCTGGCACTGACTCACTGAAAGGAAGGGAGGGCCTAGGAAGGGTAGGCTAGGGGGAAGGAGGTGTCAGGAAGCGACAGGAAGAATAGAATAGGGAAGGGTCAGCATGCTCAGTCCTCAGCAAGCAGCTTCCATCGTCCCGTAACAGAACTGCTGCGAGTATTGACACACTGCATGTATTTTCCTCTCAAATCTATCCCCCATTTACCTGTTGACTTATGTAATATTACATTTGCCATAAGGTTTTTTCCTCCACCATGTAAGAATAGGTATCCTAGGAATATGCCACTTCCCATGGCATATTCTTAGTCAGTCCTGTCCTAATCTGTGAAGTACTCATCAAATTTACATAATTTGCTGTGACAATGTACACCTCCTTTCATGAAACATACCCTCCTTAAGCAGATTTACCTTCTTAACACACTTTGTATACAATTTGAATCTGTGATTCCAAAACATTTAGTCATAGTTTGACCAGTTATACGAATCCTGTTACAAACCGCACGACGTAAAGCTCCTTAATGTATGCTTTCTGAATGCAGGAGAAAAAAAGACCTTTTCATGTTTTTGCAATACAGCTGTGAATGTCATAGTAGCACCAATCTCAGCTTTCATGTAGTCTTTAACTTGCCTTCATTGTAAACAAAAATCTGGCCAATAAATTCAGGAGAAGAACTAGGGCAGACTGTCTGGCAAACGAATACGCAGTAATGCTGAGAACAACAGATGCCTGGAAGGGACTGTCAGACTTGATTGCATTAAAACAGCTTAAGAAAAAAAGAAAAGAATGAAGCTCCTATGCTCATGAAATAATTCTTCCTAATCTGGAAGAGCTTCAGTGTAATTTCCCTAATGCCATTTAAAAAAATTCTCCATGTTAAAGAACCATATTACTTACCTCTGCCCTTTTAAGCATCTCCCATTTATTTAGAATTTTCATTGCATAAATGCGCTCTGTACACTTCATTTTAACAACTGCAACCTGAAACAACAAGATATCTTTGTTTAACAAAAGCATGGTCAGAGAAATAGAATATTGAAACAGCTTCATATTCACACAAAAGCATGGTCAGAGAAACAGATTTTTCAAACAGCTTAACATTCACAAATTGATAAAGTAAGCTACTAAGGAGTTGCCAGCGATCAGCTCAATCATTGATAAACCACAGTTTGAGTCTTTACTCCTTCTATATTCCTCCTACATTACTACTATGTGCTTGGTGCAAAGCTCGCCATGTGCGCTCAAGTGCTCATGACCTCGTACACAAGGGATGATTGTAGTGGGTTAGGGCTGGGCTGGCCACTAAACATGGACAGACACTCTCTAACCCCCTCTTCCCCCCCAAATGGTAAGGAAAAGGGAATGAGGCAGAGAGACAGGTTAGAAAAGAAAAACTAGAACAGCTTTAATGAAAAAATAATAGAAATAATAGTAAAATGATAAAAATAAAGAACTATATACAACTATATGATATTGAACCCAACTTCCCCCCGATAGCAATCCCCACTGGTGCTGCAGAGCAGGAGGCACTGGGGCAGCCTCAGGCTCAGCGACAGCGGGAGCTGGATACAGGGAGCTGGGTTTGGGAACTCAGGATCCGGGTCAAAAGCGGGAGATCAGACAGAGTCCTCCCTGGACAGTGGCCAGTGCAGAAATAGGCAAAAACTCTCATGATCACTCAATTTATACTAACTATGACGTATATGGAATGGAATACTCTTTTTGGTCACCTGTCCTGTCTATTACCTCCTGAAGGTGCAACCTTTTACTTCCTTGTTACCCCTCTTACTACCGGGCACCCCCAGCATGGCACACGGAGCCAGCAGTGGCCTTGGGCACTACAGGAATGAGTATGGGCAAGAGCCTTTCTGCATCCCAGTCCCAGGCAGTGACTGTAAACATCAGGTGTTATCACTGCCAGCAGCACACACTGTCTGCAGAAACATGCTGCTGACTTCAGAAAGTGCAGCCTTTTCTAAAAGACTAGAAGTTAAAATCACTGAACAGAATTGGGGTTTTTAGCTAAAACAAGAATGACGATAGAGGAGGAGCATGAAGCTTTTCATATGAAGATGTGTAGTAAAGCCGCATTGTTTACCAAGAACAAGTGATGTTTGTACACTGTGCCTTCAGCCACCCAGGCAACATTTAGAAGGGCAGCCTGGGAAAACAAGAACGGCTGCTGTCAATAGAAATGCACTACATTTGACTAATTTCAGGTTTCAGATACTTGAAGCAAATTTGCAAATTAACATTCTTTCGTGTACTGTATGCAGGTATTTAAAAAGAAGAAAAAACAGCATTCATTTACTTATTCATTCTTCTGCTTGAAGCATTTCACTATGCATCCTATGTATTAGACTTGCTTAGACCAGTCTATTATGAACAGTAGCTGTGCACATAGCTCTTCAGTGGAAGAAAAAGCAGAAAACCACAAAAACTTCAAGGCTTAGGAATGCAAAGACTTTATTTTGACCAAGACTTGTATTCTCCAAGACCAAAACTAGTTCTTCTTGTAGTAAAGCCATCATTTCCACAAAATTCTTCCAACTGGCAAAAGAAAAGCAGGCATCTTAACTAAGAAAGTGACATTTTCACAGGACTACACATGGACTGCTTGAATATTTCTGAAATAGAGATGAGCTAAGAAGGAGCAAAAATAGAAAACCAACCAGCTTTTATTGCTTCCAACAGAGCTCTGAATAACAGTGGGAAAAGTAACAGGAATCACATCAGCTCGCCTCTTCTGTTGCGTAAAACCTCCTATCTGTAAGGGATTCGTGAGCTACAGCAGCTCTAAGACACTGACTGTAAAATAATGTTGGAATAGTGTGTCAAGCAGAGCAACATGATACAAAGTTGGAAGTCTTGAAGAGGGAAATATAAAGAAGCTCCAGGTGAGGCGCAGGGAGATGACTGCTCCTCCAGTAACACAAGAATGGGATATTCACATTTAACAGACATCTTGCTCTGCAGATGCACGCCTAAGCCTTCCACATGTCAACATGTGAAGCTCCGCTCACCAGGTCACATAAAGGACGAGCAAGACCCAGTACCCACCTGCACACAGAGCCGTGTAATGGAAGCACAACTTAGGAGAAGGACTAGCAGGTACCCATCACAGGGAAGACATGGGAATCTGGCCCTAAACACAGCGGGGAAATACCCAGCAGCACTAAGAAGCAGCTTCTGCAAGGGATGTAGAACATCCAGAGCTACGTTACATCCTGGTGTCTCCTGGCCAACAACCACCTCACACAGACAGTGCTCATGCTTGTGGGGTGGAGGACAAGTAAGATGAGAAAGCCTCAACCAAACACATGAGGTGCCTTGGCACATACGATACTGTTCAACACTGACCTTCAGCGACGGCCGAAAATGTCCAGCCTTGCTCCCAGCCTCATCACCACCTTGCAGTTAAAAGCCATGTAACAACCTCTCTCCACACACTTTAATTGAATCACTCCCTCCATGCAGCTGAAGGCCCCCTTTAAATCAAACTGCCCATCAAAAGCTGGGAGAATCTGCAAGATGCTGCCGTTCCCTGCTGTACATTTTAAACTCTGTTCAGTACAGAACAGGATGACTCAGGAAAAACCCTCCCGTCAGTGGAAGGGACAGACCAGAACTGAGCGCAGCCACCTGCTGCAGAGGGACGGAAGCTTCGGGGCAGAAGCAATTTGGAAGTGTAGCTCTGCCAGCCCTGAAGGAGTAATACTTAAGTTTTGTGACACCACTGGAACTGCTCAGCCACTAAAGTACAAATACAGAGCAGAAATGAGAAACCAGACAGGCACCCACTGCACCTTATCTAAGGGCACCACTGTGAAAGTGCTGCAGGATGGCAGAAGTTTGAAGCGTGCTGTGCTGTTGAGGAATGATGCGAGCCTGCCGTGGCATGGAGGAGGACACGCACAGCTGAGGAGCTGTGCAAACGTTAGAACAAAACAGTAAATGGGAACAGGCTTGGGAAAAAAATTTAAAAAAAAAGAAAAAAGAAAAGAAAAGGATCTATTTAGCAATTCCCCAGTTGCTATCTATATTCACACTATTTATTTTCAACTGAAAGGACTGCTTAAAAAAGTCCAATTGAAACTTTCTGGAGGAAGATAATTGTCTCCTGTGGAAGAAAAAGAATTAATAAAAGGAAAGTTGACTCATACTTCCATGTTAAGTGGTTATCAAGTTATGACACCAGTAATCACACTGTGGGTTTAGTTGTAAGGGCAAGAGTGGGACAGCTTGTTGTGAAATCAGGAAAATTTATGCAACTGTACAGCAAAACAGGCAATTCCCCAAGAACTTTATCTCTGACAAAAACAAACTGAAAGGTGCGGAAGACACCTGTCACAGAAGTAAAAGAATTTTGGCCTGAGTAGGCCCGACTCAACCCATTCTAATAATCAGGTGTTTTGTTTTGCTTCTCTGTGTTTGTTTTGGTGGGGTTTTTTTTGTTGTTGTTTTGTTGTTGCCAGTTTTTGGTTGGTTGGGTCATTGGTTGGTTTGTTGTGTGCTTTGGATTTTTTAAAGAAAACAAACAGAAGTGCAAACCTGAAGCATCGTTGACATCTGAACTGAAACAGAGAAGCACAAACTACACTATGCCTCCATAAACTCAGTATTTTTACAAGAAAACATATTGATGCCATACTGAAAAAAAAAAATCCTATGCCCTTTGCTCCATGAAACATCTCCGCATGCCCTCGAGTTAGGTTTCTTTAACTTTCTTCATCGGGTGGCAGTATTCCTAAGTCTACATTTGGCTGCTTCTGAGATGCTGTGGTATAAGTTGTTTTTTTTTATTTTTGTTTTAATTCCTCTTCCTCTGGCATACCTCAAATCCAATTATAATAACCACACTGACCACTTGGTGAGATCAAACAGAAACCTCTTACATTGCAATTGTGCTAACCATGCAAGATGTCAGGTTTTAAATATGATGACTCCAGTATTACATACCAATCCACCACGTCTACTAAGAAAAACATAAGAAGAAATACTCCACTGGTGTTGGGAAGTACTCCAAAGGACACAGATTTATGTACTGCTGCAAATGCCTACTTTAAGAACAAAAGCATTGCTTCTATGCTCAAAGTTTAGAAGTCTACTTGCCCAACAAGTGCTCACATTAAGCACAGACTAAGATTTCATTTTGATGTTCACTCTTCGTTTCCAAAGCTATTACAACTTACACTGCAATAGAAGTTAAAAAAGAAATAAAGAAAAAAAAAATATGGTAAGGATAATGAAAGGAAAATAGGCACATGCAGAGGTATAAAAGAGCTTCTGGAGAAGATGATTTAATAATCTAAAATACTGCAGGCCTGGAAGAGATAACAGCTATGACAGGCATACAAAGCCTGTCACAGAGAAGATGAACAGAGAACAATTATTTGCTGTTTTCCATAACACGGAAATTGAAAAGCATCAAATAAAACAGAACAGTAGGAAGACGGAGGAAATATTATTGTCAGGCAACAGTTTTGGAACTTAAGTCACAGGCTGCTTTGGATACCTAAGTATGCAGAAAATTATCTAAGTACACACTCAATAGCCGAGTAACACACACAGCAGAAGTCTCAGAAAGTCCTGATCACCAAGTTCCAGGGTTGGGCAGCGACTCCCTGATCCCTCGGCCACTGGAAGCTGAGAGGGTTCAGCTCTGCTCTTTCCTCTACCTGGCCAAAGGGATGGGATGTGGGTGAATCAATCCACACACTTCTGATGCAGAATAACTAACTTTTCAAACCAGGACATGGGTTCCTCCGGCACAGCAACCTCGCTTCCAGGCAAGCCCGTACGGCCCAAGCTGTCACCGCCTGACTGGATCACTGTCACTGCGAATCGCCACGCTCAAGATTCATGGCAACAGGTACACTGCAATAAAGATCACGTATGTCTCCTCAAGGACCTCAGAAAATCTACTGAATCCCAACGCCCAGACTTCAACCAACTTTAGACATATTTATGTCAAAAAATGT